CTAGAAGTATGTCTTCGAAGTCTTGTACATCCATTCTCGTTGTTTCTTCATTTCGACGTTGGTGACCGTAAAGTCAGAATCAATGAGGTGGAGAGACCTTGAGATTTAGCGTGTTAGGAATTCTTCTTCCATTTGTATGAAGACTGATTCTCGGAAACTCTCTGAACTCTGAGCGGACGGACTTATTGTTCTTGTCCCAAAGTGCGATTGAACGTTCCCCATCGGTCATCGTGGCATCGCTGCGTCTCATTTGTGCCATGGGACGATTTCGCCTGTGGCTGGAAGAGTCCACTCTGAAAGCGTCGAGCGCGTCGGCCGTCAGTGATATGACGCGGATGGGTGCCTTCCTCTTTGGACGACCAATGGTGATATATCTGTATCGCCGCGACATAGTTTCTTCCTGGTAGAGGTACTGGTCTTGCATGCCGTTGGTGTCGTTGGAAGCTTGAGATCCATAACTTCATCTTTGGTGAGAAGTAGGAGATCCATCCATCCGTCGATTCTTGTTCAGACAGTGCGATGCGCAGTGAGATGCATTGTACCAGTGGTGGAAGCTCTTCGCGCATAGGTTGCATAGGAAATGCTTGAGTTGTTGCTTCATCGCCATCTTGATGAAGGTGTGGCAGTGCGTAACTAGCGATAGTTAATCTGCTAACGTGGGAAAACTACTTAATAGAGGGATCTTGTAGGGTAGCTACCACCCGACGAGTTCAACTGCAACTATTCAAGAGAGTGCAAGGTAAATGCAAAGTCGCTTCTTAGTAATTCAAAATCTGTGTTGTGAGTTTGATTGATGGATCAGTACCTAGTTGTAGCGTGTTATGATCATACATCGTGGTAGTTGATACGGAAGTCAAGCGGTATTTGCGGGAAACGGTTCGTTGGCAGGATCTTTACTCTGTCGAATACTCCAATTACCGTGTCCTTTGGTTTGTTGAGAACAGCCCGTGTTCTTGCCAGCGTTCTCTGTTCCATCGTGTTGACTCATAAAACATGACCCAATCTACTCACGGATACTCTGAGTCGTGGGAGGAACTGTAACGCTTTCAGCCCGAACTGTTGGCTTCCCACAAGAGAAGCTACCTTATGGTGATGTTGCGATTCCACTTGTGTCAGAGCGACCAAAGGAATACATGGGATTTAGCTATAAGTTCCCGGAGTCGGTGCAGGATGTTTCAAATCCTACTGACTCAGACAATCGTGGTCGGCCTCTTGAAGACAACGACGATGATGGATTGCAGATGGCTGGTTACGAGAACGTTCCAGGTGCTTCCGATCCGGCACAAGAAGAAGCCGAAGAACAGCGATTGGCAACTGTTGTTAGAGAGCAAGTTGGCGATGACGCTGATGTTGAGGTTTTTGCCACCGAAGAAGAGTATCGCGAAGCCACAGAAGGGGAGGCTTCAACTCAGCAGCGCAGGCGACAAGAAGACTTAGATGATACTGCAGAAGCAATCGCCAGACTCGACCAAGTCAACGCATCCCTAATTCGCCAAGAGCTGAACATCCTACTACCCAACAACAATGGCCATGAAACATCACTTCAAGCTTTCGCTAGATTGACAGAGAAGAAGATTTGGGTACCATTTCGCGATCCACACAGCAGCGCTGCAGCCACTGACGTGGAAAGTGAGGAGTCTTCTTTATTCGCTGAATGGAAAAGTCGGTACAATCAAAAGGCGACCAGCGGTCGGCATTCATACAAGACCTTCGAAAGAGACTGGAATACCGAAGTTTCACGACGCTTCAAGCTTTGGAGTCAAGGTGAAGATGGTATCATTCAGATAAGAAGAAAGAGCAGAATTCAGTTGGAGCGCTACTATGATCAACTGAAGGAATCAGAGTCACTTGAAGCCGTGGTTCCAAATGGAGATGAACACCGTGCTACCCTTGATGGCCAATTAAGGGAAAGTCGTCAGCGCCTAGACACAACTCCAGCCACTTTCAACACAAGGGCAAGAACATTCCATGGCAATGGAACAACCCCCTTTGCAGCACCAACAACTCTGAATGCTTATGTGACTGCTGGCGCTCTGAGAGTTGTCAGACAAAGCAATGGACAAGAGGCAGTGAGTGTTGTTGCTGGTGTTGCTCACAGGCTTGTTCCTTTTCAGGTGGCGCGGCATGTTACTCCAGCAGAGCTACCAAGGGCTCCTCCACAACAAACATTTAGAAGCAGAATGTTTTGTTCTGTTTGTGGCCACAGAAAGAGGGACCATGCCAAAGAGGAAAAGCCAGGCAAGAACTGTATCAGGAACTGGTGTGGCAAATGCCATGAGAGAAAGGACTGTCATTCAGCTAGTGATGGTTTTGGCAAATCATGCAAGAAGCAGGCTAGTGCATCCAGCTGCTACAAAGAGTGGTGGGAAATCAGGATAGTAAGTGTTGCCTATTGTGTTACTTTGGATTGCTTCTGGATAACAAACAGCAACAAAGTCTGACAGTTGCTGCTTCCTTTTCTTTTCAGACATGAGACATTTTCAGGGAATTGAGTATGCATACACTCCATTGTAAGCAGTGAGAGAAGCCCTGTGCATTATGTACTGCTGGCTACTGATCACCATTCCACTCAAGTTGTGCTTGTGCTTGCTCCAGCACTGAGTGTCAAACCAGTGACTCCACTCTGTAAGTAAGAACTCTTTGGCTTCCCACTCCCACACACCAAACTGATTATAGAGTGCATCTCTCATAAGTGGCCTAACTATGATTGCACACAACTCTTTCTTTGTCATAGGATCCCCTTCCTCCACTACCAAAGCAAGCAGAGCAAGGACATCACTGTACCACTCAGAGCTCTGCCTCACTCCCCATCCAGTCATGGTCTCCAGAATCCAGGTCATATCAGGTGTCATGGGCACAGCTTTTTCTTCCATTATGAGTTGCTCAATCATGACACTGGGAAGGTACTTTACCTTTAGCACAAAGTACTGACTGTACCTGTTTGCCCTGTCAGTTTCATCTACCAACAAAACATACTTGAGTGCATAGCTCTGCCTGGTCTTCCGAATCTCATTGAATGGGTAGCGACTATTAACATCTAGCCATTCTTTAAAAGCAACACTAGCTGTGTGGAACATGGTGATGTACTAGCTTTGCTGTAGTTGACTGTGTAGGAAGAAGAAATCCAATGACTTGACGACGTTTCGCGAAGCGAAGTTCCCACGGAGATCCAAATTGTGAGGACGTTCGATGGAGGTAGTTGCACCTCTGCGAATAAGTCTTCGGTGGCTACCAAGACTGACGAGAGTTAGATGGCAAAATTTGAATTACTATCAACATTACTGTACGTCGACGAGTGACATAAGTCTTTGGTCTTGTATAAAAATTTCAGTACTTTGGCGATAAAACCTGGCCTGTGATCGACCGCAAATTCAGTACCTGTCTCTTTCTCAGTAAAAGAATGTGAGTACCCACAATGTCCTATCTACACATTCTTTCATAGTAAAACACTTGATTGATGACTCCATCGAATTTTCTTGGGTCCTACGAACTCTCAAGCGCCGCGCTTCTGTGACTGACGGTAGACAATGCATTTACATGTACTGGTAGTTCTAAAGGACCAAGAGCTGGACCAAGCATAGTTAGACGCTACGAGTACCCGGTAACCCGGGTTGTATTCGCCCAGTTTCATAGGGCGGATACCTTTTACGGTATTTTTAAAATATGGCATACCTTGAATGCTGGATCTCTGAAGCTCTTCATTCGTATGGTTCAGTATGGTGGTGCCGTACAGTACGGTGTGGTGGTGTGGTGGGCAGGTACAAAATTGTCAACGAAAATTCTCTGTAAAAGACTGATAATACAGAAGTAATACTTTTGCAACACTAAAAGAGTTCCGGGGAAGTGTTCAGGAGAAGTGTTCTGGAGCAGTGTTTGAGAGAAGTGAAACCAAATTTGCAGAGGAATGGGATTCTCAGCTTGCCTTTGAAATAGGCCGTGCACAACACACTCACATCCGATGAAGGAATGTAGCCGGCAGCCAGAGATGAAAGAGAAAGAAATTTTGAATGGACTCTTCAGTCTAAGCAACTGATACCGGTATGTGATACGTACTGTGCCGGTGGCTCGCTCCACAACGCTGCTCGCAGGGACGCACGAATCTTAAAAGCTAAAGATATCGGCTAATAAGGGAGAGCAACAGGTGCTTGATCGTTATAGCTTGGTCAACACTTCGCTCATCAGAAAGCATGATTTTCATCATAAAGACGCCTAGATAGAAAGCCCCTGCCTCAATCAGGTCCGAGTCTCCAGTAGCCATCACATCATATGCTCAGTGGTCCTTCGGGGCAAGCAAGTACCTGGGTGGCAAAGATTATGCACCTCTACTGCAGCACCGGTGCCGTACGGACCTCGGGGGCAACAACTTTGAACCCCCAGGGTGCGCACATCGGGTGGTAAAGATTCGATTCTGCACCTCTATCCTGCTGGTCTGTCAAGTACGACACGCGAAGAACTCAAATCAAGTGCTTACGGTACCGGCACTACGACACACGCTAATATGTAACAGTTTCGTCTACCACGGTCGAGCTACTTCGGTACTACCGGTATTTTCAGCTTACGGTACGCTACCATGCTGTTTCGTAAAGATAGGTAGACTGGCGACCAGAGACGCATCCCCGCATGTAAAAGACTGAGCCGATTGCTCTCGGTAGAACCTGGTGCGGTTGGGGTCGAGACGATGGCTTTGCTTCGCTTGAACCTGGTGCGGTTGGATTTGCTGAGACGATTGCGATGAGCACAACGAGGAATGGCGAAAGCATCATTACAGTCCGAAGCGAAAGGACTGCCAACATCACAAACGAATGATTGAATGGAATTGTTCTTCGTAGTGCTGCCGAACAGTACCGTGTGGTGGATGCGTTTTGGCAGAACGAGCTGGTTTTCAGTCCTCGTTGAGAGCGCTCGAGTCACAGATTGAGTCGAATGAGTCGATTCGATTCATGCCTGTCGGCTTGGATCTTTTGCAAGACCGGCCTTTCCCAGCAACAAAACTGGCTCACAAAATTCAACTCGAAAACAACCAACCAAACTAAAAAACACAATCTTTTCTCACAATGTTCATTGACACTACAAGCTGCCCTGGATTCACCATCCGTGTCCTCAACAAGTCCTTCCTTGCCGAGAACAACAACAACAACAACAAGACACCCAGTCACCACCATCGCGATCATCTTATTTCCATGGTAGCCACAAGCTTTGCCGAAGGAGAACCCTGTTGCAAATTTCTAGGTATTACAGCAGAGTTGCTCCAGGAACACTTGGTGAAAGCCCTGGTGGATAAGACAATTGAGGAGGAACTATCTTTGGTCTGTATTGATAATGAAACTGGCAGCATTGTGGCAACGATGCTCAATGAAGATTTTTATGATACCATGAACCCTGATGAGGAAGCTTGTGAGGCTCTTGCCAGGGACCTTCCGGAAGCTATTCCAATTTTTGCCCTTTTGGAGCACTTGGAAACTCGTCTTGTGGAAAGAAGATTTGGTAGTACTACTGGAGGAGTGATGAAGCAACGGGAGGTTCTTCATGCTTTCATGGGAGCCACTTGCAAGGAATATTCTGGAAGAGGACTTGCCAGTTGTCTTCGCAAGCTGACAGCTGAGTATGCAAGGGAGGCGGGCTTTGCCCATGTGGTTGTGGAGCCAACCAATCCAGCAACTCAGCACATTTGGACCAACAAAATGGGTGGCACTGTGGAGTGCCGTTTGGAAGCCAAGGATTTCATCATGCCAGATGGCAGCAAGCCATTTGTGAGCGACACAGGAAGCTCTATGGAAAAGGATGCCATTATTGTGATGCTGACTTTGTAATAATAATCAACACTCTTTAGACTCGGCTCTGACTTTGGCCTAACACCGGCTACTCATGGCTTCTTTATTAGGGCCCGAGGATGCTTACCGTATCATTAAATCCATCATCTAAAGACAGTTACTCAAAGGTTTAGTGTCTTCTCTCTCTGTGAAGGACTGAGTCACGGGGACGTTGGCTGTGCATTTTTCTGGACGATTTTGGCGGCACCGTCTTCTTTGGCTTCCTCGATTGATTGATTGATTGATTGTTTGATGGTTGCTTGCTTGGTGCAGTCAGCCGTCATTCTTGCACAGATAGTTGGTGGATCATTGTTGCACAGCTAGCTAGATCATTGTTGCCGGATTGCGTTAGAGTACTGTACGGTACGGTAATAGTTGGATGAGTAAGGAGACAGAGAGCGAGGTGCATTGCAAGAGCCTTCGCGACAGATAACACAAGTCAAGCTTGTGGTGTAAGTCTCAGGGGTCGACGAGCACGCTTTACATTTGATCTCGGGAATCTCGTTGGCCCGTTTGGCAGCGGCCCAGATCGTGCACGCGCACACGCCCAATAGAAGGCAATGTTCATCCTGGAGTTACAGCCAAAGTGTGCGCTCGACGGCCATCTCACGCATCAGGTCGCGCACTGGATGGCGAATTTGGTACGCCGTGTTACTGGGTCATAATGGCATCGTTGTGGGTCGTTTTTCAGCTCGTAAACAGACCACATGAGATCGAGACGAAAATATAGCGGGTTTGTCAGATGTCTTGTGTCACCAGCGAGAGACCACGGCAGCTTGAAATGGCGGCTTGTACCATAACATTACGAAGTAGGGACCTTGAGAATTATTGGAGTTGCGGAGGCATGAAAATAGTAGGCAAATGGCGGCACATTCGCTGCCGAAAGAGCATTCCTTACGAAGCTAGTTGTCTTAGTAGCTGAGAGGGCCAATCATTGACGTTGATGACGGCCAAATGTTTCAGATTGAATACAGTGTGCATGTATATAATGATGGGAATGGCATTTCCAGCATCACTGGGAATGGTTCTTCCAAAGAGAGGATACTGGGAGGCATCGTCGAGACTGGCACTGGTACTTACACCTTAACGAGTCGTCATAGAACCACATTCGGGGAGAGACGCCAGTTAGTATCTACGAGCGCGCACAGGAACTCTTGCGAAGAAGGGTTTAGCTTCGGTTTGGGTAAATCAAACATCCCGTGACGAATACTCGATGGGCATGGAGAACGGCCGAGGTGGGTCGAACGTTATGAACGCTCGAGAGGCGGACCAAGAAGGCACATGGTTTTTGTGTCGAGCGACTGGTGACGTCGACGACCCGCGCCAATGCGACACCTCCTTGAAATTCTGTGTCGAACCATTCCGTGGTGAAGCGGATATTGCAACGCTCATTCAACCCTTCCACTTCTGGCACAACTACGCCATTGCCGGAATTCAAATCTTGCACGGCCAATGCCACGGCGGCGGCATCTTCGTGGGCAATTTGAAATGGTTTTTGGTCGTTTTGGGTAAATGGTAGAATGGCCGTCAAATGACAAAAGGCAATTTCGGTTACGTCGTCTGTGGGTGGCAGTTCAAAGAGTTCTACGTTGGAATTGTCGTCTTCCGGGGGAATAAACTCTTGGGGGAAATCTTGACGGAGTTGATCGTACCGACGAATCGAATGCAAAATACCTTCTCCCGGTGGATCTGTACTGCTACTGGTAGAAGAAGAAGAAGTGGTACCAGGAGGAGAGGAAGTACCAGAAGTAGAGTTTTGCGGATTGATATCGGAAGCAATCTCATCATCTGTTTGTTGTTGTTGATTGATTGGAATTTGCCAATAAGGATTCGAGTTATTATGGTTGGTGGCTGCCAAAGGAGGACTCGTACCGGTAGTCACGGGACGAGGAATGTCCCAATAGGCATTGCCATTATCAGAAGTCGTCTCGGTTGGTGTTGGCTTGTCCCAATAGGGATTGTTCTGGATGTCGTCGTGACCGATTGGCTTTTCTTCAATAATCACAAACGTGGTCTGCTTGGTCAATTTCGCCATGGCTTGAATATGTGTACTGTAATTCAAGAAGTCAATCGAAGAAATTCTATTCAATCCTTTGTTCTGTACAGACACAAGTCTCTTCTACCGGTATGCTATGGGAGCTTTCAATGCTACTGGTAGCGTATACCCCAAGAACAATAGATAATTGCAAGGCAGCCAAAGTGGGAGATTGATACTGCAGGAGTCCTCTACCGGTACTCTAGCTAGCTAGTAGCAACGAAAGGAAGATGGAAGGGAATATCGAAGAGGCCACGAAAGAAGAAACAAACTGGCGGATGCTAGGATGAGCCGCTGACGAGGATGGATGAAGGATGAAGGGTGAGGTTGTGAGGTTGGAGTCTTTTGGCGCCTATTGGTGAGTCGGTACCAGAATTCTGTACATGCACGTCGATTCTATTCAATTCAAAGATTTACCAGTAGCAGTACTCTTTTACTGGTTCTGTGTTTACGGTTCATGCTATGAAGGAATTATGAAGAGATTACTATGCTGTATACTGGTACACTGGTACCCACAATGTCCTATCACACATTCTTTCATAGTAAAACACTTGATTGATGACTCCATCGAATTTTCTTGGGTCCTACGAACTCTCAAGCGCGGTTCTGTGACTGACGGTAGACAATGCATTTAGCAGGTACCATGAGCTGGACCAATGCATAGCATGTAGTTACCCGGTAACCCGGGTTGTATTCGCCCAGTTCATAGGGCGGATACCTTTTACGGTATTTTTAAAATATGCATCCTTGAATGCTGGATCTCTGAAGCTATTCGTATGGTCGTGTGGTGCCGTGGGTGTGGGCAGGTACAAAATTGTCAACGAAAATTCTCTGTAAAAGACTGATAATACAGAAGTAATACTTCAACACTAAAAGGTTCGGGGAGTGTTCAGGAGAAGTGTTCTGGAGCAGTGTTTGAGAGAAGTGAACCAAATTTGCAGAGGAATGGGATTCTCAGCTTGCCTTTGAAATAGGCCGTGCACAACACACTCACATCCGATGAAGGAATGTAGCCGGCAGCCAGAGATGAAAGAGAAAGAAATTTTGAATGGACTCTTCGGTCTATGCAACTGATACCGGTATGTGACGTACTGTGCCGGTGGCTCGCTCCACAACGCTGCTCGCAGGACGCACGAATCTTAAAAGCTAAAGATATCGGCTAATAAGGGAGAGCAACAGGTGCTTGATCGTTATAGCTTGGTCAACACTTCGCTCATCAGAAAGCATGATTTTCATCATAAAGCGCCTAGATAGAAAGCCCCTGCCTCAATCAGGTCCGAGTCCCCAGTAGCCATCACATCATATGCTCAGTGGTCCTTCGGGGCAAGCAAGTACCTGGGTGGCAAAGATTATGCACCTCTACTGCAGCACCGGTGCCGTACGGACCTCGGGGGCAACAACTTTGAACCCCAGGGTGCGCACTCGGGTGGTAAAGATTCGATTCTGCACCTCTATCCTGCTGGTCTGTCAAGTACGACACGCGAAGAACTCAAATCAAGTGCTTACGGTACCGGCACTGGCACACGCTAATATGTAACAGTTTCGTCTACCACGGTCGAGCACTTCGGTACTACCGGTATTTTCAGCTTACGGTACGCTACCATGCTGTTTCGTAAAGAGTGTAGACTGGCGACCAGAGACGCATCCCGCATGTAAAAGACTAGCCGATTGCTCTCGGTGAACCTGGTGCGGTTGGGGTCGAGACGATGGCTTTGCTTCGCTTGAACCTGGTCGGTTGGATTTGTTGAGACGATTGCGATGAGCACAACGAGGAATGGCGAAAGCATCATTACAGTCCGAAGCGAAGGACTGCCAACATCACAAACGAATGATTGAATGGATTCTTCGTGGTGCTGCCGAACCGGCCATGCTTTTGGCAGAACGAGCTGGTTTTCAGTCCTGTTGAGAGCGCTCGAGTCACAGATTGATCGAATGAGTCGATTCGATTCATGCCTGTCGGCTTGGATCTTTGCAAGACCCTTTCCCAGCAACAAAACTGGCTCACAAAATTCAACATCGAAACAACCAACCAAACTAAAAAACACAATCTTTTCTCACAATGTTCATTGACACTACAAGCTGCCCTGGATTCACCTCCGTGTCCTCAACAAGTCTTCCTTGCGAGAACAACAACAACAACAAGAACCCAGTCCCACCATCGCGATCATCTTATTTCCATGGTAGCACAAGCTTTGCCGAAGGAGAACCCTGTTGCAAATTTCTAGGTATTACAGCAGAGTTGCTCCAGGAACACTTGGTGAAGCCCTGGTGGATAAGCAATTGAGGAGGAACTATCTTGGTCTGTATTGAAATGAAACTGGCAGCATTGTGGCAACGATGCTCAATGAAGATTTTTAGATACAATGAACCCTGATGAGGAAGCTTGTGAGGCTCTTGCCAGGGACCTTCCGAAGCATTCCAATTTTTGCCCTTTTGGAGCACTTGGAACTCGTCTTGTGGAAAGAAGATTTGGTAGTACTACTGGAGGAGTGATGAAGCAACGGGAGGTTCTTCATGCTTCATGGGAGCCACTTGCAAGGAATATTCTGGAAGAGGACTTGCCAGTTGTCTTCGCAAGCTGACAGCTGAGTATGCAAGGGAGGCGGGCTTTGCCCATGTGGTTGTGGAGCCAACCAATCCAGCAACCAGCACATTTGGACCAACAAAATGGGTGGCACTGTGGAGTGCCGTTTGGAAGCCAAGGATTTCATCATGCCAGATGGCAGCAAGCCATTTGTGAGCGACACAGGAAGCTCTATGGAAAAGGATGCCATTATTGTGATGCTGACTTTGTAATAATAATCAACACTCTTTAGACTCGGCTCTGACTTTGGCCTAACACCGGCTACTCATGGCTTCTTTATTAGGGCCCGAGGATGCTTACCGTATCATTAAATCCATCATCTAAAGACAGTTACTCAAAGGTTTAGTGTCTTCTCTCTCTGTGAAGGACTGAGTCACGGGGACGTTGGCTGTGCATTTTTCTGGACGATTTTGGCGGCACCGTCTTCTTTGGCTTCCTCGATTGATTGATTGATTGATTGATTGATGGTTGCTTGCTTGGTGCAGTCAGCCGTCATTCTTGCACAGATAGTTGGTGGATCATTGTTGCACAGCTAGTATCATTGTTGCCGGATTGCGTTAGAGTACTGTACGGTACGGTAATAGTTGGATGAGTAAGGAGACAGAGAGCGAGGTGCATTGCAAGAGCCTCCATGTAGGTGATTTTCCCAGTGTTTCTTCTGAAGCTGTCACTCCCATTAGCACTTCCACCAGCAACGACGAGTCTTGCACAAGTAGTAGTATTGGCAACGCAACGCAACGACAACGACAACAGCGAGAGTAACCGAATGGACAACGGCGACAAAAATAAGATGTCTGACAAAAACAAGATGACGTCTGACAAAGACAATATGGATGATGACGATACTGGCAAGAAGACAGACCGTACAAGTGTCGGTGACGACGATGATGACGAAGAGGAGGAGGAGGACGAAGAAATGGAAATGGAAGAAGTGTTTGATGAAACGGAACGAGACGAGGAGGACTGGATGACAGAATCAGCTCCTGCTCGAATGAGTCTCAACAAAAATGGCGTCAGCGAATTCACAAGAGAGAGATTCCAAGAGCCAAATGAGGAGGAAGTTGTAGACAACGCAACAGCCAAGGAAAAGAAGGAACCCGAAAGAACGGAAACCACCGCAGTAGAAAGGGCTGACAATACAAAAAACCACAAGCTCTTCACCATCAAAGGAACCACCCAAGAAGAAGGAGGAAGATGATGAGGAGGAAGAAGAGGAAATTGTAAGAAGAAGAAGCGGTTGAAGAAGAGCAAAAATCCAACGACAATGGTCCCATGTCCATTTCCGAGCGTCGTGCTCAGAGACTGCAAAATCGACAGCGAAAAATGAGACCAAGTCCTCCACCAAGACGACGTGGAGCCTCTCCTTCCCCGACGCCACCACTACGATCAGTTGGGACCGCACCGGCAGCCACAGTCAGCAGTACCAACCGCCGAACTGCCATTATGAACATGCCACATCCAGACATTTCCAGTCGCAGTCTAAACCCCCAAAATTCCAACCGAACCTTAGACAACAATAATACTGCAGAAAACAACAATTCAAATACAAATACCAATTCAGATCAACAAATCGCACAATTGAATGCACAGCTCATCCAGCACCAAGAACAGACCATACATGCCCTGCAAGAACTATCGCAAACCATCAAACACCTCATGGTCACACAAATCAAACGAGACAAGGACTCCGAAGATGACACCAAAGACATGCTCAATGTCGATCGAGCCACTGTACGATTGGATGGACTCGAAGTCTATGCCGTTGTTAGTGCCCTCACCGTAGCCACCGCCATTGCCTGCTTTGATAGCTACGGAACCGATCTTACCACCATTTTCACACCATCGCAACTCAATCGACACAATGCACTTCCCCTCTTTTTGAATACCGTCTTTTTGGCCGTATCGGGAATTGGGATCATTGCCGGATTGCATGCCACACTGGTGTTTTCACTCATGACCATGTACGGACGAACCGCCGTCGGTGTCAGTCACGACGAAGCGTTTGTGGAATTCTTTGTCCAAACGGGACGCGTCCGATATCGAGGATTTCACACGTTCCGCATGTCCCTTTACTGTTTCTTGATTCAAGTCCTCTTTACCATTACGTCCAAGTCATCGCCCATTCTACGACCGTTCGTCATCATCGTCAATCTCGCCTGCATCTATTGGGTCTACGTCGATACGCAATCGGTCATTGATAAAGCCGGTGATATCTTGTTCAACTTTAATGCACAACAACAACGACGAACATCCGATGCCGGGAATCTGTCACTCCAGCGAACCTTATCGGACATGTCCGGCAATGCCGGTGCGAATAGATCGCCGTCACGGCAGCAGCACAATGAGAGTAGCGGGGAATCCGATTTGGATGTTTCCACCAGCATGAAACATCAACAACAAAAAGAACAACCCGTGCCAAAAGCCAGTGGCGGTGGTGCCAGTACATTGCAAAATATGCGACAACGAGCTCGAGCCCGGCCGTCGGCCAAAGCCGCCGCCACGGTCAATGGCCGGTACAGTCGCAAAAAGGGTGTTGCAAGGTCCAAATCGGGTGTTTTGGTCTACGACGTCGGACCCAGAGATGCTAGACCGGTACGACGTGGAGGAAGACGACCCAGTCGGAATAACTAGACTAACTATTGAAGAGTAGTGGACGATAATATGCGGTCGTACCGCATCGATTGCGTGTTTCTCTTCTACTTTACACAGTCCTATAAGCAAATAAATGACTAAATAGGTCTCTTTTTTTACAAAAAACTATACATACCCAACAACACTATGCAACGAGGATTTCTTATTGGTATTGGTACCACCCGCAGTTGCTGACAGAAAGGTTACCGTGCGCCCTCCGTCCAAACATCTAATGTCAGGCCACAAACGTACCGAACCAGTTGTGTGCAGTGGATACCATTGCTTGGAAGCAGTACCATGGTACGGGAAGGCACAGTACGGATGGGTACCTTGCACCTCGCCGGTGCAGCCGGGACCACATGTACCGGTATGAGTCAACTGGTCCTTTGGGAGTGGTAGGTTGTCTGAATGCACCAGACACCCATATCTAAGAATCAACAGTCCACTTTGGCTTTTAAAGAATAGCTACATAGAGGCAGCTGATGAAGCTTCCGGGGCTATTGTATCCACCATACCGGTAGGCACCAAACCTGAAAGATATCAGGTCTAATTTGGATAGAGGCTGTCTCAATATTAGAAAACTGGCAGTGGGGGGCCTTGATCCTGATATGGATCTCCAATCCAGTTCCGAGTTCAAACTTGGATTAGACGGCTGATGAAGACCAACTCACACTCTCCATGGAAATCATACCACTTGTTTGCCCAGGTCTTGAAGTGGGGGGTCACCAGTGCCAGCTTCATCACCACAACGGGTGAGAATCACAGTCCATGGAGTCAGTGTACCATCACTAACAGCGGGAGCAGGGTCAGGGGAGGGGGGCAACACATGAGAATCACAGTCCATTGGTGGAGGATAATACTGCCATCATTGTGAAGACGACACCACAGATAAATGACAAAGTCATCATCAACCTGATTGAACCATTCTCTATACAGATAGTTGGTGGATCATTGTTGCACAGCTAGATCATTGTTGCCGGATTGCGTTAGAGTACTGTACGGTACGGTAATAGTTGGATGAGTAAGGAGGCAGAGAGCGAGGTGCATTGCAAGAGCCTCCATGTAGGTGATTTTCCCAGTGTTTCTTCTGAAGCTGTCACTCCCATTAGCACTTCCACCAGCAACGACGAGTCTTGCACAAGTAGTAGTATTGGCAACGACAACGACAACGACAACGACAATAAGATGACGTCTGACAAAGACGATATGGATGATGACGATACTGGCAAGAAGACAGACCGTACAAGTGTCGGTGACGACGATGATGACGAAGAGGAGGAGGACGAAGAAGAAATTGAAATGGAAGAAGTGTTTGATGAAACGGAACGAGACGAGGAGGACTGGATGACAGAATCAGCTCCTGCTCGAATGAGTCTCAACAAAAATGGCGTCAGCGAATTCACAAGAGAGAGATTCCAAGAGCCAAATGAGGAGGAAGTTGTAGACAACGCAACAGCCAAGGAAGAGAAAAAGGAACCCGAAAGAACGGAAACCACCGCAGTAGAAAGGGCTGACAATACAAACAAACCACAAGCTCTTCCACCATCAAAGGAACCACCCAAGAAGAAGGAGGAAGATGATGAGGAGGAAGAAGAGGAAATTGTAGAAGAAGAAGAAGCGGTTGAAGAAGAGCAAAAATCCAACGACAATGGTCCCATGTCCATTTCCGAGCGTCGTGCTCAGAGACTGCAAAATCGACAGCGAAAAATGAGACCAAGTCCTCCACCAAGACGACGTGGAGCCTCTCCTTCCCCGACGCCACCACTACGATCAGTTGGGACCGCACCGGCAGCCACAGTCAGCAGTACCAACCGCCGAACTGCCATTATGAACATGCCACATCCAGACATTTCCAGTCGCAGTCTAAACCCCCAAAATTCCAACCGAACCTTAGACAACAACAATACTGCAGAAAACAACAATTCAAATACAAATACCAATTCAGATCAACAAATCGCACAATTGAATGCACAGCTCATCCAGCACCAAGAACAAACCATACATGCCCTGCAGGAACTATCGCAAACCATCAAACATTTAATGGTCACACAAATCAAACGAGACAAGGACTCCGAAGATGACACCAAAGACATGCTCAATGTCGATCGAGCCACTGTACGATTGGATGGACTCGAAGTCTATGCCGTTGTTAGTGCCCTCACCGTAGCCACCGCCATTGCCTGCTTTGATAGCTACGGAACCGATCTTACCACCATTTTCACGCCATCACAACTCAATCGACACAATGCACTTCCCCTCTTTTTGAATACCGTCTTTTTGGCCGTATCGGGAATTGGGATCATTGCCGGATTGCATGCCACGCTGGTGTTTTCACTCATGACCATGTACGGACGAACCGCCGTTGGAGTCAGTCACGACGAAGCGTTTGTGGAATTCTTTGTGCAAACGGGACGCGTCCGATATCGAGGATTCCACACGTTCCGCATGTCCCTTTACTGTTTCTTGATTCAAGTCCTCTTTACCATTACGTCCAAGTCATCTCCCATTCTACGACCGTTCGTCATCATCGTCAATCTCGCCTGCATCTATTGGGTCTACGTCGATACGCAATCGGTCATTGATAAAGCCGGTGATATCTTGTTCAACTTTAATGCACAACAACAACGACGAACATCCGATGCCGGGAATCTGTCACTCCAGCGAACCTTATCGGACATGTCCGGCAATGCCGGTGCGAATAGATCGCCGTCACGGCAGCAGCACAATGAGAGTAGCGGGGAATCCGATTTGGATGTTTCCACCAGCATGAAACATCAACAACAAAAAGAACAGCAACCCGTGCCAAAAGCCAGTGGCGGTGGTGCCAGTACATTGCAAAATATGCGACAACGAGCTCGAGCCCGACCTTCGGCCAAAGCCGCCGCCACGGTCAATGGTCGATACAGTCGCAAAAAGGGTGTTGCAAGGTCCAAATCGGGTGTTTTGGTCTACGACGTTGGACCCAGAGATGCTAGACCGGTACGACGTGGAGGAAGACGACCCAGTCGGAATAACTAGACTAACTAATGAAAAAGTAGTGGACGATGATATGCGGTCGTACCGCATCGATCGCGTGTTTCTTTTCTACTTTACACAGTCCTATAAGCAAATAAATGAATAAATAGGTCTCTTTTTTTACAAAAAACTATACATACCCAACAACACTATGCAACGAGGATTTCTTATTGGTATTGGTACCACCCGCAGTTGCTGACAGAAAGGTTACCGTGCGCCCTCCGTCCAAACATCGAATGTCAGGCCACAAACGTACCGTACCAGTTGTGTGCAGTGGATACCATTGCTTGGAAGCAGTACCATGGTACGGGAAGGCACAGTACGGATGGGTACCTTGCACCTCGCCGGTGCAGCCGGGACCACATGTATGAGTCAACTGGTCCTTTGGGAGGAGTAGGTTGTCTGAATGCACCAGACACCCATATCTAAGAATCAACAGTCGACTTTGGCTTTTAAAGAATAGCTACATGGAGGCAGCTGATGAAGCTTCCTGGGCTATTGTATCCACCATACCGGTAGGCACCAAACCTAAAAGATATCAGGTCTAATTTGGATAGAGGCTGTCTCAATATTAGAAAACTGGCAGTGGGGGACCTTGATCCTGATATGGATCTCCAATCCAGTTCCGAGTTCAAACTTGGATTAGACGGCTGATGAAGACCAACTCACACTCTCCATGGAAATCATACCACTTGTTTGCCCAGGTCTTGAAGTTGGGGTCACCAGTGCCAGCTTCATCACCACAACGGGTGAGAGTCACAGTCCATGGAGTCAGTGTACCATCACTAACAGGGGAGGGGGGCAACGCATGAGAATCACAGTCCATTGGTGGAGGATAATACTGCGATCATTGTGAAGACGATACCACAGATAAATGACAAAGTCATCATCAACCTGATTGAACCATTCTCTATACTAAGGTGTGATGCACTGAACTACTGCACAACTGCATTCTCCTCACTGCAAAACGACACAGGAAACAATGGCTTCAATCCCAAGCTACTGTCAAGCCACCGATCATTCCAAAATGGACACAAGTCTCAAACTTCTTCTCCGGCTGCTCCAAAAAGTGTTGGCTCCAGCTCCAGCGAGTTGTTGCCAGGAGCATGTTCCTGGAGCAGCGGGCCCAGTGCCGAACTAAGTTCGCCCGATGTTTCAGCCAGAGCAGTCATGCCGCGATCCGACAATATCGGAAAGTAACCCGACTTTGTTGATTCCTTTACAGACATCGTCAGGCGCTTGCCTCTAACGCCTTCATTCACCCAATAGGTATGCATTTCTCCCTTTCCCCTGCATCAAATAAATAGAACAGCAAATCAACACAGGTGTAAAGATCAGACCTTCTCCGGAATGGAATCCAACCCCAGAAAAGCCAACCACAAAACAGCAAACTTACTTGATCTTCACTTTGCCTCTAGATTTCATCGATAAATCTTTATACTGTGTTTGAAGAAGCTTTGCAGCTGCGCGCGAGCAATGAATGCGGTTCTCCTCGGAGTTGGACTCCATGCGGGATGCTGTTCACATTCAAAAGAAGACGACGTTAGATCGATACGCTCTTCAGACAACAAAGCAAAACATTACCCTTAGCTGACTGACCAGTGTTGACAGTGTCCCCGAACAGGCAGTATCTGAGAGCAAGAAGGTATCATTAGCTAATTGGGAGCAGCAGCAACGCAGGTCAGGAAGAGGAACAGAACAAGCTTTACCTTGGATTGCGAGTCCCCACGACGTCAGCCACCACAGGTCCAGAATGGAAACCTTGAAACACAAGAAGACAAAACCAACTGTGAGGATGTGAGACTCTCCTCCGAGGTTTCAAATCTTCTCAAAATTGCTTACCAACTCTAATGTTCACACAGCCCTTCTCTTCATCGTCTTCGTCGATCAAGGTGTCGTTTGCTGCTTCAATGGCTTCTATCGCAAAGTCGGCGATACGCTTACAATGATCCTCATCTTGGTCCTTGACCAGGTTAGTAACTGCCATGTATGCTACAAGAAAAAGTGAAATGAGTGAGGCAATGATGCAAAGGATACAGCTACACTGGTATCTACTTGAGCTGCCTCACCATCCCCGATTGTCTCCACCTATGCACAGCAGACAAAAAGCAACGTCAGATGGGATTCTAGGTGGACTGCTTGCCTGGCTTGTGCGAGGATGGTGAATACGCACCTTGAAAATGTCATGCTGCTGAGACAAAGCATCGAACTTGGTGTACTATTGATAGCAACACCACAGCCAGCAGGAGAGTGTAGCGAAAGTCAGTCTTCTGAAATGACCTGGGCGAGCGCACCATCGAGCTGTACAACCAGCCACCACGAAGTCGAAAACTTGTCACGTACCAATCGGTCTAGCATTCTGGCCACCTTCCTCGGCTCAAGCTCAGAGGAAATGTTAGTAAACCCTTTTTCGTACGGAAACCGAAGAGTTTTGACGAGGTTAGCATTTCAAAGAGATTGCACACATGCATGTCGGCACATTGTTGCACGTACCTACGATATCTGTTTAGCGAACCAGAGTTCCATCGCAAGAAATCACTTGTGAGTCGCGAACTTCGACAGGAAAAGTGAAGATAGAATTCCCTGGCAGTTCCACGTACCACTGAAGAATATCGTTACAGAGTCTTTGTGCTCTGCTTCGACCGTGCGCCCGTCACGCAAAGCCTCAGCTATGTGCCTCGGAAAGATGTCAAACAAGCTTACTTGTGCCGCTTTCTTGTTGGTTTGGTCCCCGTCCAATGTCTCGGCATCGAGGCGTTTCAAGCGCGTGTCCACTTCTTCGCAAGTGGGGCGCTTCTCTGGGGCATCATCAAGACAATCCTTCATTAGCCCCTTGATTGATTCTGGCATGTGCAGAGGAGCTGGCGGCCTCTTTCTAACAGCTTTGTCTGCAACCAATTTCAACACTTGCTGGGCGTCTTCCCCATCATAGGGATCACGCCGAGAGAAGACTTCGTACAACAGACAAAAACTTAGTTTAAGGATGGAAAACTTCAGCAGGCCATGGTGCCTCCCTTCAACCTTACCTTCATAAAGTAATATCCCAAAACTGTAGACATCAGATGCAACTGTGTTGGCACTCTCCCCCCTCAACAATTCCTGCTCAACCATCAATGAAGCAGTAGAATAAGAACAGCTGTAGAGTAGTTTTGACATGATCACGCCTGAATAAATACATGTACTTACTGGGGCCATCCAAAAAGGCGTCCCGGTTCCACCCATATTTTCCTTCTGACTGAGACCGAAATCTGCAACCTTGCCCCTGTAACGGCTATCCACGAGGATCTGATGGAAGATGTGTCAATAACAGCAGAGAGTTGAGGCATCCAACAGGTCTCTACAGTGGAAAACTAAATGTACTCAAAACATCAACTCACATTGGCAGCCTTGAGACAGAAGTAAACACACAAATGCAAAGAGGGAAATTCTTGTTAGTGGGCACTTTTCGGTGGAAATAAACTGGCATCCAGCGGATTGTGGGACTTCCGTACCTTCAAATCACCGTGTATCACCGGCGGGTTAGAGGCGTGAAGAAACCTCATTCCCTGAAGAAAGATTGAGAGGGAGCGACAATGTCAGCGGAACCCAGCTGCAGCCGTGCGCACAAGCATCCAAAACTCAGTTTACATGACGTATCTCACCTGAGTGATATCCCGTAGAAGTGGCATGAGCAGCTCGCCCTCAAGCGCTAGTGTTTCGTTGTGCAGTAGGTCATACAGTGATCCGTGATCCATGTACTAGTAGACACAGACAGAAGGACAAAACAGGCAGCATACATAAGCACTACATTGGTCGGATTCACCTGGCTAGTGGAGTCCAACACAAGCTTACCTCCATAACGAGCATTGGTTCTCCCTTTGTGACTGCGCCCATGACTGCCAGAGAGAATGTTGTTGAGAGAAGCGCCAAGACAGCACCCATGAGGAGTCTATTGATTTGTCTACTCACCAGTGGTAATGCATGGGTGCCTCAGCTAAGCAGAAGGTTAGAAATGTGTGTTGAGTCCGGCTTGTACAATGATACACAAGCAGTCAACAGCAAAATAATATATGCCATGGTACTTGAACCCTTGCTTACTAACCTTTGACAGGTACCTCATTTCCTCCATGAACTCTGCCTTCATCTGTTTCCATTGAGCAGCCTCGCTTTGCTGGAACCCAAAGGAACCCTTGCGAGCTTTTCCATTTGCTGGCATCCTGCTACCCAACATGGACATTCCGGACCACGACGACATTCTGGTCCTGTTGCTGTTGACCCCAGACACCATTCCCACACCTGCTTTGGATCCCTTAATCGACCGCATACCCGGGCCATGTGTACTTTCACTGCCTCCTGTAAATTCCTCCTTGGATTGAGGTGGGATGACACGTTTCACTGCCACAGCAGTCCCTCGGTACTCCCCCAACAACACCAACCCAAACGTCCCTCTTCCAATAATTTGGGGAGGATCGTCAAATATGATGTCCTTCTTATCAACCTCCCAGACGGAATCATTGTTTTTGCGTTTGTTTTCATAAAACAAAAAGACGACGACGCCCAACACGGCCAAGACCACCAATGGAACCACGACTACCAACGCTATGCTGGTTCCCCCCGTTTCGAGTTTCGGCGGCGGTGGCAACTCGGGCGGGATGTTGGATGTCCCATCATTGAACAAGTATTCTGCCCGTTGTTCCCACACCCCACCTTGAAACAAGTGTGTGTTGACGGGTAAAAATCGCACCACTTCTTCTCCCGTCTCGGGATCGGTCTCGAATTGTTCTTGATAATTGTTCACCTTGTAGAGAGCTGATGCTGGATCTCGTGTTCCCGTGTCGGGATCAAACACAACGGGTCCTGAGATTCCAGTAAAGCTTAGATTCTTGAAGGCATCAAAATGTTGCTGTCCGGTGAATGCCAACGTCCCAGTTTGTTCTACTGCTTGACAGGCGGCCAAGCCCAATCCCACCACAGCTTCGTACGTGAAGGGTGCAAATATGCTGGTGACATCCTTGAGATATGATTCGTGCTGGCCCGTGACATACGTGTGGGCATCGTACATGGGCCAATCGTCATGTTGGGGAAAGAGTGCTCCGATGGTTTGCAAATCGGCCAGATTGTCCATTTCGGTCACATGTTGGACAAAGCTATCATATTTGGGCATCCCCGGGAAGCCTCCCGCGATTTCCACCATTCCCGATCCCCTATAACTCTTGTGGAGTGGTCCATCTTTGACGAATGTGCGTCCATCGAGGACACCCAAAAAGGAATCTGCATAGATCCAAACGTGCTGTCCATCTCCGGCGACGCCTGTTTGGTATGCCTCGGTCATAATGGCATCATGTGTTTCCGCCGTAAAGACAATCATAAAAATGTATTGGTATTCTATGGCTTTGACCGAAGCGACGGCAGCTGAAATGGCGGCTTGTCCTTCGTCGAGTGGAACTTGATGAATTTTGAGCTGCGGGGCATGAATGGCTGCGGCATGGCGCATTCCTTCCACGTAGGCATTCCCGAAAGCATCGTTGACGTTAATGATGGCCACATGTTGCAAACCCAACACAGTGTGCATGTAAATGATGGTAGGAATGGCGTTTCCGGTATCACTGGGAATGGTTCTTCCAAAGAGAGGATACTGGGAGGCATCGTCGAGACTGGCACTGGTACTGGCCGCACTGATTTGTGGCACTTGAAACAATCCCGTGGCGATCGCCATGGGCATGGAAACGGCAGATCTGTAGGCTCCCAAAAAGGCACAGGGTGGTTGTGTTTGTTTGTTGGCTTGCTCCACGACGTGTCCCAAGGCAACGCCGCCTTGAAATTCCGTATCTAACCATTCTGTGGTGAATCGGACATTGCAACGCTCATTGAGACCCTGTATCTCAGGGACGAGAATGCCATTGCCGGAATTCAAATCTTGAATGGCAAGTGCAATGACAGCGGCATCTTCGAGGGCAATGTGGAACGGTTTTTGGTCTCCAGTGGTAAACGGAATGATGGCCGTGAGATGACAAAAGGCAATCTCGTCTGTATTGTCGTCTGGTAGGAGTGGTATTTCAAAGAGTTCTACGTTGGAATTGTCGTCTTCTGGGGGGATAAAGTCATTGGGGAAGTCTTGACGGAGTTGATCGTACTGACGAATCGAATGCAAAATACCTTCTCCCGCGGGGTCTGTACTATTACTAGTACCGGTAGCAGAGATATCTGAAGCAATCTCTTGTTCTTCTTGTTGATCCATTGGAAATGGAATTTCCCAATAAGGATTCGCGTTGTCATGGGTACCGGTGGTGGAATCTGCCAAAGGAGGACTGTTAGTGACGGGACTATGAGGAATGTCCCAATATGCACTGCCATGGGTAGTCCCAGTACTCGTAGTATCAGAAGTCGTCTCGCTTTGCGTTGGCTTGTCTTGCTGTTCTTGTTCTTCAATAATCACAAACGTCGTTTGCTTGGTTTCTTTCGCCATGGCTCGATGCGTACCGTACTACCTCCCACAAGAGTGACTTTCTTCTTTGTTCTGTACAAAGACGGTCTCTTATCGGGGAGCTTCAATGGCAAGGTTCCGGTAGGCGTATACCCAAGAAGATAATGGATAAGGCAGCCAAACAGAGAGCTGATGAGAGGGCTGGCTAGCAAAAAGAGGAAGAAGAAGTGTGGTCTTTTGAATAATGCCAAAGGAATTTTGTTGGTTACTTCTTTAACCGGTGGCTACATCGTACAACTGTAGGAGATGATGTGGGGTGTTTTTTGCGCCTGCTAATACTTCCCAAAATAAGTGGTCCCACGGTCCCACCGTCATACTGTAGTTGCGTTCTCATGGTGGTCTGGATTGACGCAAATAATGTCCAATCCACACATTCATTGATGATTGATGACTGCACGTACTGACGTATGCTCGTAATGGGTGCAGCGTTTGCTGTGACTCTCTACAGCCGATGACATAAGAAAGAGGACCAAGCGCCATTTACAGATTTACAGTGGTTCAAAGACCAGGTTGGGTTCTGTACCGTAGGTACCTGCACACATCGATGTGCTCTTCGCATCTGTTCATGGTGCAATAAAGACATCTCGGCGGATTCATCTCGGAGTCATCTCGGCCCATTCTTATAATAGCTTAAAATTAAATTTTGGCAATTCCAATTTACAAATCGATTCAATCGACATTCTTTGGTTTCTTGAGCTCTTCTTGTTACTGTACAGCGTACGTACCACTTGGGTTCTCTAGTTACTAGCTAGCTAGCTAGCTAGCTAGCTAGTAGTCTAGCTAGCTTGCTAGACTAACTTGCCCAACTCTTTCCTCTTTCATTGGGGTGCAGCGTTTGCTGTGACTCGACTCTTTAGAGCAAATGATTTATGAGACAGGACCGACAAAGCTCGAGCAGGTCTCTCAGTTGCACACAAGCATTATTGGACGGACTCTTGATGTGACAGTGGAACTGGTGGCTCCGCCAGTCACTCGGGGGCAAAAGCAAGAGAGTCGAGTCGAGTCGAGTCGAGTCGAGTCGAGTCGAGTCGAGTCGAGTCGAGTCGAGTGACGAGTCTATGTATGCAGCCTGCGACCGCTTTCTGGTAGCTAGGCTGGCTGGCTATTAATAGCTCTACTTGTACATGTAGTACTTGCTGTTTGGCAAGTTGGCAAGTACTCGTGTGCCCTTCACCAGCAGTTAATTTTGTTTGCTGGCTCACTGTCATGGGAGCTCGCATGGCCAGCTTCGACTTAGTTGGCTGGTGGAAGAGCGTTCCTCTGCAGAAAGCTCCAGCTTCCACTTGTACTAGTAGTTCCAAGTCTCCGTGACTTCTCGTGCACTTGTCCTTTCGGTATTCCCAATGAATGCCTTCTCCACAGCAGCCTGTGCAATGGATTCGCCAACTCGGTAACGACCAACTTGCTAGTGCACTTCCTCACAAATTTCTCGTAGTGTCCACATCATGTCTTTTGACCATTCAAGACAAGCAGGTTTTCTTGTGGCGGACAAGTACCGGTACCGCTGCAGGAAGTCTCCCAGGGTGAGCGACAAGAGATGCGACAAAGCAGCTGACAAAGCAATGTGGCGGAACACGGGGGTTGTACGAGCAGCTTCGATTTTATTGATTCAAACGCGTGCCGCCCTTTCTGGTACACTTCTACGAGAGGTCCTGTAGAAGTGTACAGAGAAGCTCGGCGCGCGTTTAAATCAGTAAAAGCGAAGCTGCCTGTACATCCCGAGTCGAGTCGAGTCGAGTCGAGTCACTGGCTCCTCAAATGCGGGAGTCAAGTCCCGAATTCCGACTCTAATAAGCCCACAGATCATTTAAAACTGGATCCTTCTTGGGCGTGCACTTGCTTGGGTGTTTTTTAAAAATGATCAAAAATTAATCATTTAGAAATCTCTTCTTCTAAAGTAAAGTCATGCATAGCCACCCCAGAGTGCCTCACTGGCTAGCTACTAGGTGTGGGTCAGAGTCTAAGATCTTCTATAAAGAGTGAGAACGCAGTGGAATGTTGCACACAAAGTCAGCATCACGATGATGGCCTCCTTTTCCATAGAACTTCTTGTGCCATTGGCAAATGAGCGAATTGCTACCGGTACCATCAGCATCATGAAATCCTTTGCTTCAGTGCCATAATAATACTCCATGTGCCACCCAATTTGTTGATCCAATCCACAGATCATTAATTATCAAAACTGGATCCTTCTTGGATGTTTGAATGACAAATCTTTAATCTTTCTTAGAAATCTGGTCTTACTAGTAGCTTATGCATAGCTACTCAAGGGTGCCTCAGTGGTACTGTAGCTAGCTACGGTAGCTAGGAGTGGGTCAGATAGAGGAGGCGCGAATGATCCAAGATAGCAGCAACAAAAGTATACAAATGATTTCTGCTAGAGAAGGTCTCTATGATGCGAAATCCGTCAAGATTAAACTGGTTAATAGCCTTTCGTCCCGAAGCCCGCCTATGAAAGAATGGGAATGGATGCCTAGGATTACACAATAATAGGTACTATCTACGTAATTGTAAAGCACTACCGTACAAATCCAGTCCTAGCGAATGCGCGGCGACGACACATTGGAGTCCACCTGGCCAGAGGATGAAAGATGCGTGGATGCGACGGAGCCTGCATCAAAGCTGGGAGATGCACCATCCTTGACTTCATCCTTGATCAGACCTTGATCCTTCAAAAATTGCAATTGCTTGGCCCGTTGCATCTGTTGTCGTTCTTTTAGTGACAATTGACGCTGCTTGTACAAAACGATCAAATGAAAGAGCACCAGGCGAGGAATGGTAATGCAAATCAAGAGCGACATTCACGTTAAGGGCGGAAACACCAAACTTACCTTGGGTGCTGTACGGTCTGGTGTTGGTGTCTTCTTTTCATCAGAAAAACTTGATGAAGAGTCGTATCCACTGCGGCGGGGCGACGTGGTCGTCGATGCACCTGTGCGACTACCTGTGGGTGACGAAACCTTGTTACGGGTTGGGTAAGTGGCACCGCTGCGTGTACCGGTCGTACTGGGCCCATCGAGACTTTCTTGGGTCAGCAGTGCGGGCTTTCGCACAGGAGTACTCGCCAAGTCTCGATCTCGCTCATCTTCTTGACAACGATAACGAGATGAAGGTTCAGGAGTCGCTGCAGAGCTCTCGTCGTCCTCCGAACCTGAACTCGAATCATCATCGTCGTCGCGATCAGCTTTGGGCGCTGGAACATCTACAGAGAATACCGACTTGTCAATAGCAGCCTCTAACTTGCGTCCAAAACTGGAAAAGAAACCACCACCCTGACTAGTTCTCGAAGACGTACTGGGACGACGCTCCATGCGGCCTGTCGTTCTTGTTGGCGACGTTGGTTGCTCCTTCCTCGCCTGTTGTTGTAGAGTCTGCTTGACTGAACTGTCCGAATCCAAGCGAACCTTGACTGGTGTGGAGGTTCGCTGGTCCGCCTGCAGTCGAGATCGTTGAGCTATGCTGAGCCGCCCTTGCGGTCCAGTTCCCAAACTACGACTGCTACTGATCAAATTGTCGTTTTCCAACATGACTTGATCCGGTGGTGGTTGAGGCGAACGAGTCGACCGCGGCAAATTGTAGTCTGGCGGTAGTATCCGGTTGGGTGTAGTCACAGCCGTGGCACTGGAGTGGATGGTATCAAGTTTGGCGCTCTGCGGGTTTTGAAAGTTTTGAAGCAATTGTTGCTGGTGCTGTTGTTGGATGGCGCTACTGTACTTGCCAGTGGCAGTTGTCTCTCCGACAATGTAGGCAGGTGGTGCGGGTGCACCGCGGGGCGAGGGACTTGCGGCTGAATACCGCAGTATGCGGGCATTGGATGACGCGGGTCGTCCGTCCCCGAGCTCGCGTTCACGCAATTCTCTCGTCTCGCGAAGGTAATGAAGGGCATCAAACTGCTTTTGGGTCCTGTCTTCGGTAAGTTCCGACATGTGTGATTTGTTGTCATCTTCCACAAATCGTCGCTGCGTGTGATGGTGATCATTAGCAAGATGGACCAGGTCACTTTCTCTGTTGCCATTTTCGCCGTGTTTGTCCAATACCGGCATCTGCAAACCTCCAGTATTTCCATTGTGGATATTGATTACTTCCTTGCCTTCACTAACGTTGCTGGGAGTGTTGACCAAGACAATGTTGCGTCGAGGAGGGCTAGTTGGGTGCGTGCTGGGAGAGTGCACAGCATGCGACACCGGCACGGATAATTCGTAATGACTGCCGCCAAAGACACTTCCTACACCACTCGCGGACATCATTTCCATCATGTTCTGTTGGACTTTGACTTGTGATTCCATCTTGTCGACATATCGTTCCAACAACTCTGCCTTTTTTCGCTCCTGGTCGACTTCCAGTCGGTTGGACTTTTCCTTGTGTTTGACGAGACCGAGCTCTGACTGGCAATCTTCCAATTTGTGTCGCAGGTCGAGGACTTCCTTTTTGAGAATTTTCTTGTGATTCTGCAATTCTGTAAGCTTATTGCGCGTACTGGACTGGTACATGGTGGTTTCCATCCTGGTCGACGCCAACTCTTTGCCCAGATCTTCCAGTTCCTTGGTACGGGCTTTGAGTTGTTTTTGTAAGGTCCCAGTGTCGTGTGAGTATCGTCCTTGCACTCGCTCTAGTTCGGCTTTTGTTACTTCGAGTTCCTCTTGAAGCTTTTGAACATGGTAGTGATCCGAGTTCTTTGTCTCGGACAGCTTGGCCTGCAATTGTTTGTTTTCTTCTTGCAACGCATTGCAAGTATCCTCCAGGCAACGCGTGTAGTCACTCAACAATTGGACGGGTGCCAGTAGAGAAATGTCTTGGGACCGAATGGCATCCAACTCATTGCGAAACGACTGGCTGGTGGCAATACTAGGATTGTTGCTCATGTTGTTGTTTCCGTTGGATGCAGTCTCTGCTTGTGAATGCTGTCGATCCAGTACCTCTTCGACAAGTTTCCAGCACGACCGTCTGCCATCCTCCATTTCGCTCCGGACTTGGTATAGTTCTTCCGAAGCATCCTCCGCCTGCTTTTGTGCTCGATCCATTTCCATGTGCAAGACTTGTAGTTGTTGTGCAAATCCATCACAGACCTGTTTGTAGGCGTCCGTTTCATCCATGAGTGCCGTGTGTCGTTGTCCCAAGAGTGCCTGCGTCCATCCTTCCGTCTCGGATTCGGATCCAGCCGAAAAGTAGAATTGACGTAGATCCGGATTGACGGCATCGTCTCCTGCCAGTTCCAAGACGAGCTGATTTTGTGCCGAGCGATGGACACTGGTGTAGCATTCTAAATCGATAATGCCAGCTGGTTGCATGGATGCAAATGATTCCGACGACGCCGGAGGGATATTGTTGCCGCCAGGAGGATGAACCGCATGTGTCGGACTGGATTCATGAATGTGCGTGGCATGCATGTTATTATGATGACTGTTGTGATCCCCACTGTTGTCATGGTTGTCCTTGTTGGCAGCGGCCCCACCACCCGGTAAGAAATAGAGTGAAGAGCGCGGTGCTTGTTGTTTTCGATTGCCTCGATGTGGATATCCATTGGCCACTGCCTGATTCCAGTCTTCTTGTAGTGCCGTGGATGGCACTGGCGGTTGAGCTTCGCCCGGCAAGACATTCGCGTCAAAGTAGTATAGAAACGTGTGTGGGACGACACAACACCATCGAGTCTGCCAGACATGTTGTTCGTTCCGTTTGAACAACCAACCAGACTTTGTGGAGAGGAGACTCAAGACTTCAGGAGTCCGTGGTGGAGCACTCTTGATGGTGCACGTTGTGTTGAGGTTGGAGAACCACAGCGAAGTCGTCAAAGACGTACGGTTCAACACGGCCCGTTTCGCATCTTCCGAAGCTTGCGAGATTTGAGCAGAGAGACCTTGTTTGGCTGCCATTGTCTTGTCGTGTTCGTTCTATGGAAACCAAAAAGTAGATTGTGCTGTTTTGTCTGTACTGTAGCAACAGTCTTCTTGTGTGAGGGTGCAGTGCACGTTGTTCTTAATCGACTGTTGTGGACAGCGAAAGATCAATCCTATCTATCAGTTCTTGTCCTTTCACGAGACTGAAGTGAACTGAACTGCTACCGCGCCACTGCCTTTTTTCGTTTCCAAATCAATTTCCGTCTCCAAGAATGAAACTGACAAACAAAAATGACTTGGTGTGGCGGAGGGAGCGCAGCAACAAAAACGGAAACGAAATGCACAGCAACCGACTCGACTCGACTCCAAACAATGCTAAAGATGCAATCACCACTGCCAACTATCTGTAGCTAGGCCGTAACGTTGCTCTCCTTCGCTTCTATCTACAAGTACAACAACAACAGGGGACGGTCTTCTACTCTTTTCCATTGAGGGAGGCGCTCGGCTCCATCATCATCATTGTGAAGGGTCGTGTCGTGCAGCCGGCATTGCAATTCTACGGTTAACGAGACTTAAATGACAGGAAGCTAAAATCCGTTGAATCGGCCACCGATCTCCAATGTTAAGCGGGGCTGGCGACGAAATGCGCCATCACAAAGTCCACCCTTTGGCAGCATCCACCGACTGGCTGGCTTCTTCGGGTGCTATGCGATGTACCCATACCGGTACCGGTACTACGGGTACCGGTATCGGTAGGGGTTCTGGACACCACAAGCTAGAGATAGCCACGGGATGTGTATTTGCAGAGTTCTTCATGCCATCTACGGTATGTACCGGAATTGTTTGGTTTGGTCAAGGGTCAAGGTGGGGGCTTGGTTGTTCTTGGTGGTCTGGGCCTTATTACGCATACGCAGGATTGACCGTCCAAGCAACCTTGAAATAAACTAAATATCAGTGTTTGCAACAATCTTTCCAGTTAGTTTTCAAGGAGTGAAGGCAAATCTGATTGTGTTGGATCTGCCTGAAGCAGGAGGACCTGGAGTTTGTAACTCAACGATTTATAGATTCTGTAGCAGCAGCTTGACTAGGCTTGACATGATCTATCGCCCCGGTTGGGCTTTTTCCAACAACTTTATATGATACTTGCTTCCGCCTAATCACCAAGAAGGAAGTCATCATGTTGGGTCGCAGATTGATTTAAATATTATGATACAGTGAGGTTGAAACAAGCTGATCCTCCCTCAAAGAGGCAGCCACACATTCACTTGAAGAGAGGAGTTACATTGCTTGGGAGACGTGGGGTTGAGAGAGTTGTCTTCTTGTGCTTGAATACGGAGGCATCACTGACGGGCAGAAGAGAGATTCAGGAGCCAAGCTTGCTTGGAACCCACTGGCTTAGCAAGGAGAACTGCTACTAGGTTGGTTCGAAGCCTGTGCCGGTCGCCCGGCAGGAGAGATTGTTGTCCTATCTGCCTGGAAATTGCAGATGAGTGAGTAGCTCCAGGGTTTTCTTGTGCCGCGGACGATGGAGTCGAGTCGATTCTTATTGTCATGTTGGGTTGCCATTGTGCCCATTCGATCGTATGGATGTGTTGAAGCATGGCCAGACTTTGGTAGGGAATCCTTCCAGCAGGACCTGGAGTTGGGCCGGGGTCGGGTGCTGGAGTGGGGCCAGAGTTGCTCCTGGTGTTGGTCCTTCGGAAAGGCTTGCTTGTATTTGTCCAAAGTTGGCTTAAAGTGGGACGTGGTGTTGCTTAGCTGGTCCAAAAGTGGGGCAAGGTGGCTGTTGGTCCAAGACATAGTTGGTGACACGGAATGATGAAGCGAAGGAATCGAATCAAATCAATACTACATTCAGGGCACGGAGACACATGATCGTCGACAGGCCACCTCCTAGTAGCTAGCTAGCCAAGCATAGTTAACCACCATAATGGTTCTGTAATTGTCGAGGCAAGTGTGTTTTTAAATAGCTATTCTATTTTTCATTATGTAATGGAACCAAGTCATGTAATGGAATATATTCAGTATGCATCTTCAGAGAAGCAGCTACTTGCAGCTGCCTACTGTGCTCGTCCGTCAAACAGACTCCAGCAACCTATGACTTCTTGAAGGCCGGATCGACGTCACGGCCTAACTTGATCCAAATGCGATCAATAAAGTCTCGATCACGTTCCGCAAACGATCGATCGTTCTCCGCCTCGTGCTGACGACTCTCCAACAATCGCTTGGTCATGCGTGGGCATTGAGGACATCGCACCATGTGGTTGTAGAGATCGTTCACTTTATCGGGAAGAGACCTCTTATTGAGCGGAAACATTCGACAAAACCCGAGACGTCCAGTCTCGGCACAGTGCCGACACCCAAAGCCGGGTAGACCCACAGCAGCATCCTTTCTCTTTCCCACTCGTTCCGAGGGAAGCAGGTCCACAGTTTGTGCTTGCTGCATAAGGAAGAACAAGTAGGGAGAGATGCAATTCCGATCCGAATCGTCCACGAGAAGCTCCACGTTGGCTGCCTTGATGGCAGCGGTCTCTTCGGCGGACGTCCCAAAGGGTGGAATCTGGGCTGCAGCCGCCTGCGAATCTTCGTTGATCATGATTCCATACTCCGAGTCCACCATACCAAGCTTCTTGGCCGCAAACGTCCAATACTGACGCGAGAGGGAGGAACTAGGAGATGTCAATCCCTTGAGCTTGAGGAACTTTTGCTTCTTCTCTTGAGGGACACCCGTGCAGTTTCCGAAATGATCTCGCACCATCATGGTAAACGACTGGTACATCTGACGAATGCTGGATGGGAATGCGGATGCCCGAATGGCTCGAGATCCGGGCTGCATGTGAGCACAGTATCGGCATCGGATACCGACTTGCTGATAGGCAATGCTCTTGGAACTACTGCGCACAAGCACTTCTTCGTGACTGGCCCGGACGACTTCCAAAAGCTCGGAACGAATAAAACACTGACGTTCCGAAAGCCAATTTGGATCTTCCTCGATACCAAGGGGAATGACAACTCGTTGAGAATGATGCGGAGTATTTCCTTCCTCGACCGGGGGGAGCTGCATAATCTTGGGTTTCGCGAGAGTCTCCAACATGGCCAATTTCCTCGAGTCGTTGGCAGGAGGGGCCGCTGGAGCGGGTGGTTGTTGAGCACGGTTGCCGAGACCCCGGACTAGGTTTGCCAGGTCTTGTGGATTTGCCGAGCGCACTAGCGCCGCGATATCTTGATTCGCCGTCGCGACGTTGCTGCTGCTGGAAGTTCGTTCCACACCGCTCATGCTGCGTTCTACTCCGCTCATGCTTCGTCGAGCGGCCAGAATGGAGGCGGCAGCGGAAGAGGACTCCATAGCGACACGACCAGACCCCATGGCGCGTCCGGATCCCATCGCCGATCCCAAAGAACGTCCAGAGCTGCCTTGCATCAACATGGAGAGACGGCGCCCGGCGTCAGTGGCAGGCTGTTGTTGTTGATGTTGTTGATTGGCTCGAAACTGAAGAGCCTGTTCCAAGAGATCGTTGTTCATTCGAGGCGCTGATCCGCTGGGAGTCGACTGAAGGAGACCCGCCCTCATGCGCAGGATTTCGAGCTCCAAATTGGCCGTGTTATCGGTGGGTGCGGGGGCTGCTGCAGCGGGACGACAAAAGAGACCAGCTTGAGCAGCAGCACCACCACCGAGTCCAGCCGACTGTGCAGAGGCACCTGTTGCGTGTCGTCAACAAGAAAAGAAGTGTGTGAGTGAATCCTTGTTAAATCATGCCTGTTCCGGTGAAATACTGCTGCGGAGCCTTACCTGGAAGAGTGGACGATGTCTGGTTGGCCCGAAGCCTCAGCAGCGTCTCTAACGCGCTGCTGCTGTTGCTGGGAGCAGGAGGTTGCGGAGCCGCAGCAGTCGCGTCGTTCCCTGGGAGTACCGCAACGGCTTGATTGGCCCGAAGCATAAGAAGAGCCTCGAGGGAACTCCGGCTGTTGCTCGGCGCGGGTGGTTGAGGAGCGGGCGGAGCCGCAGCAGCCCCCAACAGAGCCCCGTTGCCTGCTTGAGCCGCCAACAACCGCAAGACATCGTGTGTTCTGTTGGGGGGCGCAGCAGTCGTTGTCGTTGCTGCGTTGGTGTTTCCATTGGTCAGTGCACGCAACACTGCTTCCCTTTGTCCGTCCGAAAGGCCTTCCAGCGCATTCCCATTCAACCCGGCCAACGACGAGAGACTGGCAGTGCTATCGTCTCCTCCTACAGACCGCGAAGACAAGGCTCTCGCGACGCCTCGTTGCGGAGGTGGTTCCATGGTCCCAGTATTACGCGAAGCCATCGCCTGCGACAACAAGGCCGACAAGGCGTCACCATTGCCACGACCACCATCGCCGTTTGCAAATCGAAACGACATTCTCTTTCTATCTCTCTTTTAACTAACTGTGAACTCTGAACTCGAGCTGGAGTGTTTGTCCTTGCAGTCTGTGGTTACCGCTGGCAATAGAGGAGTAATCCGCTGTTGATCGTAGTATTGTTGTGCTCCTTTGATGCTTGGTGAGGTTTCATTCAGAGTGGTTGCGACAACTGCTGGTTTCTCTGAGTGATGCAGAAGCAAGAAGCAAGAGATTGCGAAGAGGGTCTGCAGTGGCTTTGTACAGGATGGTGATTCTACTGTGCTACCCAAAACAGCAGCGCAGAATCCGCGCTGGCAGAAAAGATGCTTCGTGGGGGTGCGTGATAGATGTCGATTGTTGATGACTGAAGGCTTGCTCTCTGAAGATCTCAAGCAAATGTTGACCCTTTGGACCTTTTGTTTAAGATAACCCAACACATCATATTGATGAAAACATTCACAGACAGATGTAATCTTAAAAACGAGCGTAAAGTGACACTTGAAGTAACCTCTCATGCAGTTTTCATTTAGAAACCAGGACTGGCTAGAGTGATCCAGTACAGGATTCTTTCAGGACTGTAGAAAGAATGTACTGCACTTGCAATAGTCATCAGCACCAAGAACGTGCACTATAACCCAAAAAGAATCACTACTTAAAGTTTAAGCCTCCTAACTTGCAACTGGTATTCTACTGAGACATACTTTTCATTGGAAATCCCAAGAAAAAGACAAAATGGAACACTTCCAAAAGTGAGAAGGCCTGTATTCGTTGGTAACACGAGCTGTAACACGTTACCTATTGATTCCAAGGGAGAATCTTGCAGAGAGTAGAGTACTGAGTACTAGTAGTACGAGAGTACACGAGTACCAGTAAGAGGTCTACGCGGAGCTACGAGGATGAGAAGGCCTTATCCCGGAGTATTCTACATGTACATGTACAGCAACAGCAACTGTCGAACTGTCCAGCCGGAGCTGTGTTCGAACTTGGTCGCGTAACGTCTGACTGTTCTATGCCATTCCACTAAGATGAATAATTATTAATTATGATAGTGTTAAATAAAAGAAACAAAAACCTACGCACTTGAAGCCGCAATCGCAATCCAAAGAAGAATCGCATCACTCAATTCCCTACCGGTAAGTAACCCTGGACAACAACGGTCTTGACTTACAGCAACTGGCTGTACTAGTACTTTTTCTCTCCCACAATTTTCACCACGGTAGTAGCTATGGAGTATACTCTATTTGAGTAGAAACTTTTTGATTCCGAGAATTTCCGACATTCCGACCACCAAAGCTCCAGCAACCTGCAGTTCCGTTTTACCAATCAGTTCTGACAAGGCTCCCTTACAGGATCAAGGATTATTTATTGGTCCAACTCAATCCTCGCTGAGTTCCTTCTGCCTCAGAAAGGGGGATGATTCGGTTCGCATTTGTGTTACCTTGAGGCAAGCTTGTCTGAAAGCGATATGCGATATCCCTAAAACGAGAGAAGCTGCGCATCCAGCGAGAACGAGCTTCCACGCCGCGGTGACCGTGGAAAATAGAGAGTCAGTGGTCGAAGCAAATGAGTGTTTTGTACGTCGTTTTGACTCCAATCAAATCAAATTTGTCCCCAAGATTGAAGCCGTCGAATAGCTGCTAGCTAGCCCATTGTTCGCAACAGCCAATGTATGTGACTATGTCAAGCAATGCCAATGAGAAGAAAAAGTCCCCCTGTGGATGAGCAACCCCCAGCTGCATCCAGCCACCCAACTCCAAACCAGCCACTCCTGAATTTCGTCTCTCAATCTAGCTTGGCCTTTGATAGATACATGTATACCCTTACCAGGTAGCAGTTTAACCAATACATGTAGAGTCAACCTGACAGTACTTTGAGATAGTCTCGAAACGCCGCGCGACTTCTGAAGGTTGTGCTTAATTGAAGTTGTTGTAAGTTTCGATTGATAGGGTTAGCCTTGGATCCTGGTGTTGATCCTACCGGTACTGTTGGATCAGCTGTAGCTTGTGACCGGCCAGGTGTACCGTAGGGCATGGATTAGGACCTGGAATGTATGGGTCATGCCGCTGCCCAGGCCCGGAGTTTGTCCTGGTGGCTGCACATTGATTCTACTGTTCTTCTTGGCCAAGGGGTTGGTGCAATGGTGGCTGGCCCAGGCGTCGGTCTCGGGGTAGGGAACCCATTGCACCCGCCAGATGCTAGCTACCAGGGAGTAACGTGTACGCACGTTGTCTGCCAAACTAATTTGAGGCTAGGTAGCTGTCAGTTGCAACATTTCCAGCCAGCAGAAGCAGCAGTATCTGTGAGACTGACTGGAAGTCAATATTTCAGTGCATGCAGCAGAAGAGCATGATCATGAACAACACTGCATGCGCCACCAGCCACATCCCCATCATGTCCACTTGAGCGAGAATGGTGATTTGTTTTGAGACCCCTTCCATTACAACAGAAGAATTTCCAGGTGACGCACTGGTTTGACCATTCATCCCATGATGAACGAATAACCAATCAATCTGTCTCTACTGCTAGTCTACTAAACCATTTCAAAACTTCCGAGCAGAAAGAAGATTGGCTACAACATAATCCCATGGGAATCCTTGGTTGATTGCTTGGCGCTACTAACGTAGCTAGTAGCGTAGTAGGCAGTGATGAACTCGTGCATGAACGGAAAGAGCGACAACCAACCCAGAGCTGCAACCACCTTCACAACTATGATCTGTTGCTTACCGTCTTACCGTAATACCCCACAGAAGCTAAATCTCGATTGGCTCTAGCTCTGCCGAAGCAACTGAAATCAAAAGACTGCCAACCCGAGCCATGGTGCTGCAACACCGCAGTATCCCCAACTACTGTACTTCTTGTTCCGAAGGTCGTTCATGTGCAGCCACATTCACTTGCAACCAGCCACATACACACATGATTATTTGTAAGGATGATCCTCCGCTGAGGCTCTTGATGGTCGACGCCACTGCTGTGGTCTTACGGTACGAACGAACAAACTATGATTCGATTCCAGTTGACTGGCTGGTAGCTTGCCTCTAATAAGGAGCGCAACTTGGAAGTTGTCTGGAGATTCGATACATATATGTCCTTCAGCCAGAAAATCGGTACGCACCGGTATTGTAGTTCATGGCTGAACGGAAAGAGTGGCTCTACAGTAACACAGAGCAGCATTTTGCTTCACAGCTACCGTACCGTATGAGACCATTCATGCCATGAGCGAACGAACGAACAACCAATCGGTCTCTCTACTACAGTACTAACCGATTTCAAAACTTGTGCCAACAACACCCCGAGCAGAAGCTCATGGAGCACCTTTTGAAACTTGGCGTGGGAGTGGATGCCACCAAGAAAGAAGGAGCAACTGTGCTTTCTTTATACATGGCGCCCCGAACGCCAGGCCACCCCCGCATTCGTCATGCTCGCATCGTTGGTGCGGCTGACTGACCGACCGACCGATCAATCCATCCCTCATCAATCGGATGGTCCATGCGGAAGGAGAAAGACGAGCGCATCAACAACAACAACAACCAGTGAACGTAACGTACGAACCAACTAACTGTGTGAGTAACGTAACCCAACCAACAAATCACCACCACTTGGAACCGAGCAAACGAACAGCCTGCACCTTTTTCCTACTATCGATAGAGAGAGATAGACCTGGAACTTGGCAAGCAAAGCGAGAACAACCCCAAAACAATACATTATTAGTGTTGGACAAGCTACTGTAGAGTGTGTCCAGAGATCAGGAGAGTGTGATTGGCTTTGCTTTGAACGACGAACCAGTAGAGAATTTTATTCCGAACACCTATTATTACTGAAGAGGCGCGCAAGTGAATTTAGAAAACCAATCAATCAATCAACGGACGAATTGAATAGACAGTTAGAATAGACAATAATATGAGTGGCATGCGGTGGGGCGATCATTGCAGCTCTGACGAAGAGTCGTTCAACGAAGACACTCCATTGGAAGCGTTTGAAGACAGCGACGATGAGGCGGACAATGCGGTTCCAAGCAGCAAACAGCAAGAAGACGAAGAACCCGTCAAACCACAAGAAGATCCGGAAGTGAAAGAAGTGACGGAGCCATTGGCCGCGCAAGCTCCAGTAGCGGATGGTGAGGAGCAGCCAAAGGAGGAGGGTGTGGAAGAACCACCAGAACCCGAAGCACGCACGTACAATTTCCCAACCAATCCTCCCTTTACGATTTTTGTGGGCAATTTGGCCTATGATATTCGTGATGGACGCATGCTGGCCGAAGCCATTGCCACTGTCGTCAAGGAACGTTTGCAACAAGAAGTCCACGTCACCAATGGAAAAATTCCATCGCAGCCATCTCATTATCATAATAATCATCGAGGCGGCGGAGGAGATCGTCATCGAGGATATGGATACGTCGAAGTCGCGTCGTTGGATGAAGTGAGTTGAACAAAAATCAAAACAAAAAAATGGAAAAAAAGAGAATCAATTGTGTTTCTTGTGTGTGTATGTTTGTGCTGTCCCTGCTCACCTCATTTTTTATATTTTTTATTGTGATTGATTGAATTCAGATGAAAATAGTGTTGGAATTGAACAATGATCACGGAGCTCGCATGTCAGGACGCAAGATGCAGCTCGATACGGCACAACCCAAGCAGATACGTGACAACCAAAACAACAATAATAATCGGGGATTCAACAATAACAATAACAACAATCGTCGAGCATCGGCACCAGAAGTGGATGGACGACAGTTTCGACAAGGAAAATACGGCAATAATAAAGACAAAGACAACCACAAAGACAACAAAGACAACAACAAGCGTGCTGGTCCTCCTGCCGAGCAAAAGCGTCCCTCCTTGATCCTCAAGCCACGAACCAAACCATTGGAAGAAAAGGATCAACGAGGATCCAAATCAGACATTTTTGGAGGCGCAAAAGCACGTGATCACAATGCCTGGCAATCCAAACGACAGAGTGCCCCGCCCACCACTACGGCGCCTCCAGCTGTGGTGGCAGTGCCAACACCAGAGGAACCAAAGAACAATGATCGTCGAACATCCGGTCGCGGTGGTGGTGGTGGTCGTGGAGGACGAGGAGGACAAAATGACGACCGTCGTGGGGGGCACAATATCAATCGTGGTGGACGAGGAGGAGGCCGTGGCGGTGGTGGAGGACGTGGAGGAGGTCGACACAACAACAACAACCATCAAGACAATAAGGGACGTGGCAACCACAACAACCACAAAAAGGATCACGACAACAAAAAGGACCATGACAACAAGAAGGACCATGACAAAAAGGATCACGACAAAAAGGACCATGAGAACAAAAAAGATCACGACAACAAAAAGGACAAGGGCGGTACCACCACCACCACCAACAAAGCACCCGCCCCGGCACCTCCAGCTGTCGAACCCAAAAAGGAACCTGCCAAGCCGAAGGTTACCAATGCATTTTCGGCATTGGCGTTTGATTCCGACTCGGATTAGATGCGATGCATGCTTGGCCAGAGGCTTTTTTTCGCCAGAACAGTCACGCTCATCGAATTCAATCATCCGTGTTGCTTGTATTAGCTACCTACCGTTGTTGGCCCATTCGAGTCCAACACGAAAACGAAACAAACTACAACAACGGACGCTTGGGTCGACTGTTCTTTCTCGTGTGTGAAAAACGCCATCATCTCTCATTCTTCAGTTTCATTCGCATCAATCAATCAATCAATCAATCAATCAGCACTCATCATTCCAATCCAAAAATAAATAAATATCATGTAACCACCAAACGACGAAACGATCAGCCGTACCGTACCGTACCACCATCTTGTAGTACGTAGGTTGTGAATGTGTGCCTAATTTGTTGTATCACTCTGGTTTGCCTATGGCGTGTTCCGAAAGGACGGACGGGCAGCAACCTAAACAGTTGTCTTACCAGGTAGCTGGCTAGTTGCCACGTACATTCCCTGCCAAAAGAATATGGTTGACCGGATCTTGCCAGCATTGTGTCATTGGCAGATTGCGCACCGTACCGTACCGCTACCGCACAGTACGAGCAGCGGAGGCCCAAAGGCTCGCACCTCACCGGTACCGGCATCACAAGCCGCAAAGCAACCAACTAGGAGACTCAACAACTCAACTCAACTCAACTCAATGCCCTTTACTAATGTCTTGACCACGATCCCAGGTACGGTTGGCATTCGTTTTTCTTGATCTCGTTCATCAGACACAACCTTGCCTTCATCTTTTGTCTTTTTTTAAAAAGAACTAGGAAACACTGAGACAAACACGATTCCAGCCAGGCTATCTGGTATATCCTACGTCTTGAATGATAAGCCAGATTGAAAAACCAAAGAGAATACTGGATTGGAGTTGGGTGTTGGGTGGATAGTGCCTTGTATACGCTAAGGGCCAGACGGGCAGCAACCTAAAATTTGTTCTACCGGTACGTACAGTAGCTGGCACGTACTTTTCCTGCGAAAGGGATATCCATGACAGATTGCGTCAGCGTACCAGGTGCAGTACGAGCGTACGAGCAGCGCAGGACCAAAAGCTCGCACCTCACTGGACCGGCATCAACAAGCCCCAAACCAACTTGCTCATGGCTCGAACACGATTCCTAGTACCAGTACTGGTACGATACTATCGGTACGGTTGACATTTCTTTTGGAGGATGATCTCAGACACAACGGCAGGCGCATTTTTTGTTGAAGAAAGCTACGAAACACTGCGATTCCAGGCTATACGGCAACCAACGTTGTGAAAGCTAAGCTAGCTAGATTAATTGAGAAACCAAACGACTTTCGGGAGTGGCTGGAGTTGGGGGATACAGCTCTCGATGCATCGATGCATCACTCCTCTTCCGACTTTTATTCACACGCGATGGCTCCGCGCTCGGGGGCTCCCGACTTTCCACGATCACTTCGACGTGGAAGCATGTTTGTCGCGGCCAGAATCCAAGAAGGTGATTTTGACGGGGCTATTAAGTCAGCGGGAGCTGCGATACCTCGGCAGAAAGACAGATAGAAGAAGGAGGATCATGTTCGAGATTGCACCCATCTTTCAAGCTAGCCCTGGCGACAACACCCGACTACGTCGTGTGTTGCCGCCCGGTATCATTCATTCCCTCATTGCAACCTTCTTTTATTAAGGTAGCCCTGGCGACAACACCCGACTACGTCGTGTGTTGCCGCCCGCTACTCTATAATTTACCAGCTGCCATTCCCTTTTTGTAACTCTAACCTTTACAGCTCCTGCTGGCTTATTTGTGCTGATTGCACTAACCTTAAATATTAATGATTTATTCCTACCCCTAACTTGTATTGAACCATCAATGTTCAGTCTTGTTGGCTTATGACTATCTCTATCCTTATACTTTGGCTTCACCGGAATAGGAAATAGGAAATAGGAAATAGGAAATAGAAAATAGGAAATAGGAAATAGGAAATAGCATTAAAGGGGTTGAGAACTCAGGCAGTTTACCTGCCGAGGTAAAGGGGTTGAGAACTCAGGCAGTTAACCTGCCGAGGTTAAGTGGAAACCATGAGGAGTGGTTGGGATGGAGACTTGGCAACAAAACAGACGATCGCCACGGTATCATCATTCAAAGCAATAGATGGCTCCCTGTTGAATGACTGTCTTGTCACATTTCACCTCCAGAGCTCCTGGGTATCTTGCGCCGAACACCGGGACCCAGCAGGACCAGGTGAGAGTCCCCTGCACTTGCTTTGCTTTGCTCTGCTCAGTACCATCTACCTAGTTGCGCTACAGCACTGCGTTGGAACTTTGCCGGCACAAAGATTCAAGCAGTTGCTGCAAAAATCAGTCAGCCAGTGGAATGATACCAGCTTGTTTAGGGTTCTTTGGGACTGGACCCAAGGAAAGCTCATGCACTGTGGGCAATAAATATACGGGGGTTTAGAGTAGGGAAATTATCTACGGAAGCCAGCCAGGGCCAGGCTTAAGCAAAGAATAGTTGAAATTCAGGACTACATGTAGGTTCTGTGGGATCTGGGGCAAGAAATTGAGGACCATTATGGGGGCCAAAGGGTTGGCTTTGGGGGATCCACGGAGACATAAGTGGGTAGCTTTCACTGTGGGCAATAATAGTCGCATGACAGCTCGGTTGACTCAGTCGGCCTCTCTTCAAAACAAGCTTCCTCGTACCTGTACAACTAATTTGCGAATTTGGCTTGCTTCGAATACCATCTGTGTTCGTTGTCTCTGTCAATCCCAGTAAATTATTTAGTATTCTCACTTTTTGCTGCATTTGACAAATACAGCAGCCATGCTGGGTGGTGTACGAGCCATTGACATGATGTTTTGTGCAGTGTGTTCACAGTTCACAGTTCACAGTGGTACCGGTACAGCGTAACCGATTGTGCTTCCAGCCTCCAGCCATCACTCTCGGGCAAAAAAGTGAGAACCAACAAACCGCGCGGCGGAAAAACTATCTTTGCGGAACGCTCGATCCACTTTGCTTTGAGAGGCCAAAAACGATGGATGGGAGCCCTCTGAAGAGAGCCGGAAGCCTATTGGCAGCTACATGTAGCTAACTACTGTAGCCAGGAGCCGCCTACGGCCTACGATCACAAACTGGCATCTGCACCTTTGTAGGAATTTCGACCACTATTTCCGTACTAGTCTACTAGTCTACTCTTTGCTGTCTTTTCCGTCCCCGAGTCCTCCAATGGCCTCCACCTAAGAGAATCTCCATCTCCAGTGGTTAGACTGTACTCGGTACTGTGGACTGTAGCATAGAGCTCAATCCACATTACAGCGTACAGGGAGATGGGAAAATGGTTGTTTTCATGGCCACTCGAATGGTCATTGGTGGCCATTGAGGGGCTAATTTGGTCAAAGCTGGTCAACATGACCAAAGGGCAAAACAGTGGTGTGGGCCATGCTGCGCTAGCTAGCTTCTGTGCTTGGAAGGTACTAGTAGCTGCATACTACTAATAGCTACCGTGTCCTTTTGCATGGCTCTATGTAAAAGGCTCTGGGCCGGGTCGCAGGTAGGTGGTCAAGGTCGTTGTTGTGGTCAGCCATGGTCAGCTGTGGTCGTCCGTGGTCACTGGTGGTCAGTCGTGGTCACCTGTGGTCACCCGTGGTCAATAATGGTTAATTACTAGTTAACTTTGCTAACAAAGTTGGATAATTGTGGTCAACCGTGGTCAGCCGTGGTCAGTCGAGGTCAAGGGTGGTCAAGGGTGGTCAGCGGTGGTCAGCCATGGTCACTCGTGGTCCCTGAAAAGTGACCGTTTATCACCAAAACCTGGTTGACAACCTTCCCACGTACGGTACACTACCCATTCCGTGGTAGGCACCTTCAGCTCAGATCTCTAGAGAGGGCTATTAGCTACTGGCTTCGGTACTGTATCCTTCAGCCTTTTTGTTCTTTGGCCTGGGAATTGGCTAAGCTTGGTCATAGGAAGTCTTGAGTGGTCCTTGTTGGTCTGTTCCTGGTGGACCATGGTGCTTTTTTTCCATTTCCCAGCAGAAATGGAGCTGCAACAGCCTGCAACCACCAACCACCAACCACCAACCTGTTTCCACAGAGCCTTCCACAGCCACTCTGAATATGAAACAGCTTCGTACTGAGTACTATTAAAAAAAGAGTACTGAGCAGCCATTTCGAAGAGACGCACCAAGGCTTAAAGATTTGTAGCAGCAGGCAGCAGGTGTAAACAAAGAATACCACAGACATATGCATAAGACAGTTCTTGACTTTTTTTTTTAAATAAGTCTTACGTAGTCGGAAACCAGCAGGTATTCAGCAACATTTAAAAACTGTACTGGTCGTAAAAACTAGATACTTGATCGATCCATCAATCAACGTCCTGTCAATTCTCAATTCACAGTTAGACTAGCTAGTTGCTTTGTCGAGCTCTTTGCCGACAGCTTCGACCAGTGGGCTTGGTGGGAGGCCGGTTCAGCAACCAAGGACTGAGCACAACAATAGAGTGCACCGTGTTTCAAACCACTAAGATCATGTTTACAGTGAGCGGACAAGAAACTTCACGTTGTATGGTCTTCCCCATAATATCAACCTTTCCGACCCAGCACTGAGAAGGCACAAGGAAATCATCGCAAAAGAACTGACAATGGACTCAACCAAGAGACACTGCGAGATCGCTCAAGTTGTAATAAACAGCGGGAGTGATGATAACGACATGCCTTCTCTGCTGGGTTGGAGCTACGGGGATCTCCTCTCTCGCTCAACGCCCGAGTTTTTCGGAGACAGTGCCAGCTTGCTGGATCTCTTTGAATCATCGACGGCGTCGTGCCTTCTGGAGGAAAGCTCAGCAACGTTGGTCACTTCCAACGTACTTCAAAGAAGCTTTTGCAATAGCAGTTCCAGCACGATACCAACTTCGAATGCTTCTTCCTCGGTTGCCGCTGCGATAAAACATGGGACATCAGATCATGAGCCACAGCAATCGAGACATTCTGATTTGGATCATATGTCGCACCATGCACCGACTAGCCGGTGGGGCGAGAGCGGATCCACAGGTCGCGGCAGGTCACCAGTGTTGCCTCGCCGAGCCCAGTCTCCAATGAGACAAGTTCCAGAGACGGAGTCAACAGACAGCAGGACTGTGACGAATCGACCGAAGCAAATGGCTCCCAGAGATCGTCACTCGCACTCCTGTTCGTGCGGCTCCAAGGGAACGCAAACCAGGAGTCCTCTACCTGTCATGCCCCCAAGAAGAGTGCACAGCGTAAGTGCCTAAGAGTCGCAGTACAGTCGCACATGTACAGCCAACCGAATCGCAAGGACTCGAGACTCGAGAAGTATGTATGAAAAAATAGATGCATAAGTTTAGATTCTTTCTTCACCTGTCGTATCACGAATTATCATGTGTAACTATTTCTTCCGTTTGTCGGCCACACCTACATGTACGCCGTCGTACTCTTGGACGAATGCAGCCAATGATTACTTGGATACCCCAATGCAACCGTCAGACCCCAGCGACGACTCCTGGGTTGAGGAGGGTCAAGGTACATCCAATAAGCAGGTACCATACCATGACGAGGACGAGGAAGAGGACCAGGACCAGGACCAGGACCAGGACCAGGACCAGGACCAGGACCAGGACCAGGACCAGGACCAGGACCAGGGCAGGAAGCAACGGCACCAACTCAGACAAAAGCCTCAGCATCATCAGCTTCACTATACATCGTCAGGACTGACAATCAAAAACAACCTCAGTGGGAACGTTGGCCCTGGCAACCTACCGTGTTGCTTGCAGAAATACTCTTGCACCATGTTTTTACTTCCTCTAGATACCCGCCCTGTATCTCGGACTTCAGACCGAGGAGGATGAGATAGACACACATATTGCATAAGCTACATCCCCTCGAATGCTACCGCTACGTTCGTGACAAGCTTCGGGCCTCCAATGCAGCAAAGCTGCAAGCTCTAGCTGTTCGGTACTGGTGGAACACTACTGGCTAGCCCAAGGGCGAGACAGCCATCGCATCTACTGGACGAGACATGGAGAAGAGTTAGTTGGTCACCCGCCCATACCGTACTGTATCCCGCCTCCCAAAAGGCCGTTCGGACTATCTTGATCATGAAGTTTGACCCGAAGCTCAAACCGGCAGCTACATGTTTGTCAGCCAATATCCGGTAGATTTCGTCTGTAACTACGGATGTCAAACTATAGTGTTACAGGGAATCCAGATAAACCTTTACTTGCTTTGCTAGTTGCTAGTTTATTGGAAGCTGGAGCGCAGTGGAGGAGGAAACAAGAGTGAAAGTCTTCGGAAAGGTCCCGCTTTGGCAGTTTCTGTGGTTTCAACGGTAGATTGCAACTCCATAGATTCATGGTGCCGATGTTCAGTTGTCCGTTTCAATGCCTTCAATCCAGCAAAGAGTGGGCGACGCAAGTGATGCATAAAGACGGAGCATCCACGCCGTCTCTGTAGTTCTACGACAATTCCTTGGTCTACGGTTTGCCATAGTTGAATGACAAACTTGAGCTTGCAGGTCATGCAACAGATATCAACGCGTCCGGCGTTAGGATGAGCTTGATGTGAGAAGAAAACGCCCTGTTCTTGTAGGCGTTGGAGACAGTCCGCGATGCATCGGGTAATTTCTGTGAGAGGAACACCCCTGAGAGTGATTCGGGTGGGCATTAATGGTAGGTCTGGCGAAACACAAGGGAGTTGACGGACGGATTGTCGACTGGCCCACTGCAAAAAGCCCTGGAGGTACTCTTCTTCGATCTTGAATTGACTACTATGATTGTCCGATGTGTTGTTATTCGCCTTGAGAGCTTCTAACAAGAGGACAGGTTCATTGGAGGTAGCCCGCCTCCGATCAACTTGCTTTATTTGGTGGCCGCTGGGTAGGCTCACAGAACGAAGCAGCGGTAGTGCTGGGAGGGGAGCTTCTACATGTACTTTGTTTATCGTGGCGACTCCTGTCATGGTGGTTTGCGTTGTGTTGTTGTGGAAATTGTGTGTTGAGGGCTAGCTAGAGAGCATGAGAGATACGGTACTACTAGTAGTACGGTAGATGAGAATGAATCAATCGAATCCGGACATCCGGACCTTCGCGGATGGCCTCCCATCGGAGGAATGCTGGTTTTTTGGATCTGTTCACTTCTGTTCCATGTCCATCAAAGACAAAACCCACATTGCAACATGTTGATCTTCAGTGTTCCATTGTCGACTTTCTTGTCAGGCGGGATTACATCATTGCTCATTTCTTTATTTAAGACAGGTCACACTAAAATCCGCGCTTGACCGTCCGTCGTCGGTTTAGGCCTTAAGGGGCAGTTGACGCCTTCTTCCGGAGAATTAAAAGACGATTTCGGGGGTGTGCTACTCTTTATATAAAAGCGTTTAACAAGGAATCTTTAATCGCCGAAAACCATCACTGTCGCACCGTAGCGCGCCGTACAAAGTCTACACGAGCGAGAAACTTAGATTCGCTGAATCAGTTCTTGTCTCCGGACGATGACAGACGGACGGTTGAGGTTTTTAGTGTGACCTGTCTTATTTGCTACTGAGTACAACATACATGCAACTGTCGGAAATGAGATGCCATCACACTAGTGACTCACAATCATGAATGGGACCCAGATCAGTCCTGGGAGGATGGCCATGTCATTGGAAGATAGAGAGCCCGACAGGCCCAAACAAGACTAGGGATTGAAAGACACAGCACTCCAATACCAGTAAATAATCACAATATTATCAACTCTATTAGAACAGGTTATGATAGCCCAATTTTAGCGAGGTAGAGCCGAACTAGCCCAACACCGGTGTAAGACCACACAGTGGCACCATGATCAACCTCTTTGGCTCGGCCGCCAAGAGTGTCCAGACTTGGGCAAGTCGATCTCGAAGACCCTCAAACTCCTCAGCACCAGCTGAACCAACACTTCCTCACCCACCTCTTCCACCACGACGACGACGCGCGTCACCCGTTATAGTAGAAGACGTATCTGAAGAATCCTCGGTCAATGACACTCTACCATCCCTCGTCACAAAGGACCCTTATCACAGCAGCAGCGATGACTCTTCCACCGGCAGTCACCGCCGCAACACCTCGTCATTTGACCCTCTTCAACAAGTCACTCCACCCCGGCGAGTCACCCAATCGCCAATCTTTCACCAAGCCACCCCTTGCCTTCTACCAGGCTTCCAACCTCCGACACCACGGTCCCACCTCAGCTCGGGCATTCCTTCCGCCATTCGGACACAAGTTAACGATGTCATGGCCATTCTGGACGCCTCCACTGACACGCCCAGTGCCCGTGTGTCTCGACATGGATCAACCCCGATAGTCGGCGATTGGTGCAGCCAGACGACATCACAGTCCTCTCTCAGCGACTCTTTCCAAACGGGAATTGAAGGCTCGGCGACTGGACCATCTCTTCGCCTCTCACGCGGTAGTGCAACAACAAACCGTCCCACCAGTCGCCCACCAGCATTTGGCGACGGATTTGATGGCATTCCCCTCATCGATGACCATGCATTTGCTCATGCCACTGGACCGCTTGTCATCCTCCACGGGATCCCACCATGCGGTTACAGCAGCCAATTTCTCACCACCATTGTTGACTCTCGAGAGCTTTATGGGGGGGTCAACAGAACAACAAACCCCGTCGACTGCAACAATGATGCCTATTTGACGAAACTCAAGGCCAAGAAACTGCTGGTGCGACAGAAGTCCACCGGACACATCATCCAAGTATTCCCATTGCGAGTACTCGGCCATGACAGTGTGGACCAACAGAAGACCTGGCAACTCACCTCACGTTGGCATCCCTACTTGAGGGGGTACTTAGATCGCCAAGATCGCAGCATGGCCACCTCCGGCAAGACATACTATGTGGTGGATGGATGGTACGACGGACTTCCCTGTCAAAGAATCGTCCAATCCTTCGCCGAAGGCTGGGCAATGCAAGCAGACGTAACTAACAATGGCGCGAGTGACTCGCCAACCGGCTTCCGCGAACTGAGCAAGGCAAGAGAATATCTGAAGAGAATCCGGGAGACCCGACCAGTCGATGCTCGACAGCGGATTCCTCCTAAGTGGGTAATTGATGCGGCCATTCTTGGCACGGAAGATCCCCATTTTGCCTGTGCTGCTCATTTTGGACATTCCCCGGCACAATGGTCTTATGGCTCAGCAGGAATTGATGTTCCCGTGCCAACGCCACTTAGCCAACGTACTGTACCCACAGCCCCGGCGGAACAGGCAACCAATCCCACCACCGCCACTGGAACCCCAGTTTGCAGTGGCTCCCGCCAACGTGCAGAACAGTTTGTTGAGGTAACGACCGCTGATGGACAGCGATTCACTGTCCCAGCTTCCAGTATCAACCGCAGCATGGGCACCTTCTCCAGGTCACGCGATAATGGATCGGTCACGAGCCTGGACAGTCTCTGGATGAGCCACATTGAATCACAACACCATCTCAAGGATGCTCTTGGAGCCATCGTCCAAGGCAACCGATTCACCCATGACGACCAGCTCCGTGCCTCCACCGAACTACCGTCTCTCCCCTCTGCTCCCACTTCTACCGCTCTATACCAGTGGAAATGTGGAGTGGAAAACGCTCTTACTGGGGATCATTGGGAGGCTGCTGACCAAGAAATTTGGGAGTACACCGAGACAACTGACCACAACAAGGACATTTCCAAGGTCATAGCGCGACTCCTTGTCAAGGCTACCAAGCAGAATCGAACCATCACGGACCTTCTCCAACGTGAACACAGTCTCAAACGACGTGGATCCGAACTCCTTCAGGCCATCCTCGACACCTTCCTACCAGTAACCAGTGACCGTGCTGATGATAGGTTTGCGGACGTTAGCACCTTGGTTCAGGAACAGCGCGAATATTGCGTCTTCTTCCTCTTGCGATTGCGATTCTTCAGTCGCCAATATAGAGTCGCCAGTGGCCATATGCTCCAGGACACAATCCTTCGCGGTTGGTTCGTTGCCGGCACCATTCGACACGGCCCATATCGGTCCGTTCTTTCCAAATGCTACAATCGCTTAATCCGCCCTGGTGGCAAACTTCACGGTATTCCCACCCTGGAGTGCAGCCTCGATGCCCTCGCCGAACATCTTGACAATGTCCTCACCGGTGCCGAAAACAGCAAGTACTACTGCGACAGCAAATTGTTATCCGGCGAACAACCAATTCGTGCTTACCCCAGCACCACCTCCTCCAATCGTGGGAAGGCCCACCGCACTGGCTCTGTCACCACTGACTCTCCCAGCGAATCACGGGGGGTAGCCTTTCAAACTTCTTCGCTGGATGATCCCATGGCTCTCGTCAATGCCCTTAAACCCTTTGAAGATGTCACCGTCAGCAAAGAACAAGCACAGAACGTCATGTACCACTTTGCATGCCCATGGTGTGCCATTGCCCGTAATAAGAACCCTCAACGACACCACATGTCCACCTGCGACCACTGCATCCCAGGGTATAACATCGAATTCGACGGTGCCGCCTACAAGGAAGGCAAATCGGAGCGTCGCCGCTCTTACAACAACAACAATGATTCTGGAACTGCCCGTGTGGCACACCATGGCAATGGCAGACGTACACTGGCACCCTCTGATGAGGACGGGGACGACTCCAGTCACGACAGCGGATGTGAGTCCACTACGTTTGACGTACCTACTACTGTAGATCCAACCCACTCACCTGTTATCCCTCTGTCTCGCAGAAAACTCTCACATGGGTCAGTCCGGCTAACCACCATTCCAGAAGAGACGTCGAGGGATATCAGCGATGAAATGGAACCCTCGGATCTCAATAGTAGTAATACGTTAAACAGTAGTAATCCACCCGTGAACGAAACGATATCCTACTCGTGCAAATACATACACAAGGGCCCACGACTAGGAGCGACAAAGACAGCCTACATGGCCATTAAGCCGATCCCTGAACACTACGTGACCGGACGTGCCATGTCAACGACGAACACACCTACCGACGCCCTTGCGTGTGTGGACTCCGGCGCAACAGGGGACATGACACCTTACTTGGAGGATTTTGTCAGTTACCAAGCTTTAGATGGACATTACATTCGGGTGGCCAACGGTGCTCCCATATCCATAGCTGGATACGGTACGGTGCAGATCTGCGTCGGTACCAAAGTCATAAAGGAACAGAACTGGTGGCACGTACCCGAACTGTCTACTAGATTGTTATCTGTACGGAAACACCGCAGGAGAGCACCTGGATGCAGCTTCCTCGCCGACCACACCGACTGTGTACTCAGTTTCCTTCCTTCTCTATCCGCATTGATGACTCAGAGGAATGCACTATCCCTTGCACTCCAGCAGCCTCGGCGACAAAAATCCACTACGATGACTCACGTCGCCCTGGGTACCCGAAACGACTGGCAAAGGCAGGCACAGCCCTTCGTGTCAACAGACGATTCGAACCAGCACCAGTCCGTGACCAGATGGAACCCATTGATGAGGCCGAAATAGCTAAACCACAGAGTCGTGAGATACCCATCGCATACACGCCAGAGAGCCACCTTGGGGAACAACCACGCCGTTTCACTGGACAAGAGCTGCACCTACTCTTCGACAACCGCAAATTAGGAGTTCGACAACCGCAAATTAGGAGATTACCAAGCCATCACGGAAGTGTGCAGCCATGGTCGGTTCAGCAATGCAAGCGAACCAATTCCATCGGTAGGCGACTTTGCCAACATGCGGCGTGGGAAACGTGGTCGCAAATCTCGCGTCCCACCTGCTGGTCGCACTCTGCATGCTGACCTCTGCTATGGTGATGGCATCTCCCCGGGAGGATTTCGTTATGGACTAGCCATCGTTGATGCCGGCACCAGGCAAAATTGGTTCTATGGTCTCCGTGATTTGGAGGCCGGATCCATCATCGATGCCTTGTGGTGTCTGTTCATCGACATGGGAGAACGCAGTACCAACGTCAAACACTTTCACTGTAACTTTGATCAGCGATTTGTTGGTGGCAATGTTCGCAAGTTCCTCCGGAGACGCGGCATCAAGATATCAGCATCCCCACCACACCGACACTCTCAGAATGGGCTCGTCGAAAATCATTGGAACACAGCAGTCAGAATGGCACGAGCATACCTACAGGAAGCCAACCTACCAAAGTCTTTCTGGTTTTGGGCTGTCCGGGAGGCATTCTTCAGGATGAACCTCCTGCCAGTCGACATTAGTCCCAAGGGACATCCCAAGGACTCCGCGCAGCTTCTCAGCACACCGTTTGAATTGTTCTATGGCTGCAAGCCAGACATGAGAGTACTCTTCAAGTTTGGATGCGTAGGATTCTTCTACCGGCCTGTTGACGGCAGTCGATCACGTACCAAATTCGAAGTGCAAACATTTCCCGGCATTGCCGTCGGGCGAAGTGACACCACCAATGGCATGATCTTTTGGTGCCCTGAAACCAAACGATTCTGCACTGCCGCTGATTATTACCTCGACAACAGCCAGAACGTTCGATGCTTCTTCCCTGAGTTAGTGAATGATGGGGGGTTCGAACTGAAGCTGTGTGAGCACGGATTTCACGGCAAAGCGATCAAACACCCACCTGGGAGCACTGCCACCTTCCGAATTCCCGGACCATGTGCCGAAGGCCATCGTCCACTGTTCACTAGTGGCGAAGTGATTGAACTGCCACTCAAACGACATCAATCGTCCCAATACAAGGTTAGACTTGCTGATGACACCGTTGTCCACCTCGACCCGTGTGAATTGTGGGAACCGGACGATGCTCTGGCTGGACTGGAACTTATAGCCGATCCTTCTGCACTACGCTAAAAGCTAGTGTAAAGATCTTTCGAGTGTTTTGAGTTTGAGAGAATGAAAGTTATGAGAGAGATTAGAAAGCTACGAAAACTAATCCATGAGAGAGATCGTTGTGAAGCTCATTGAAGTTGGTCTCCCGCGGGAGGCCTCGAAGTGTGATATCGTAGATTATGATAATAACTCTACGTACTCCACGGTCCATTTCCGGAACACGTGGAAACTTCAGCTAGTAGCTGTCTAGTAGCGTGGAAGCTTTCCACGCCGGCTAAATATCTAGAGCGATGTTTCATCAACAACCTAGTATGACTAGCAGTCATGAGAACCCTGTCTCAATGACTATTCGCGAAGGACTACGTCATGAGTCGAACTCAAACCCTATCTAGGATCGAGTCGCGAATAAGGCTAAGAGCCGTGTATTGCATTCGCCCCCTGACAAGGGTCACAGAAGGCACGACAGCAGTCGGACAAGGAGAACATATGAATTAAAGTGCGGGGCACTCTCCGGAGATTGGATGTAGACATGTGCGTCGCACGATGGCAATCCTACAAGGGGATCAGGCCTTGTATGGGTGTAAATACCTTATGTTCCAAGTCTGGTAGACTGTGCCGCCATTGGCGGTAGCATGTCGGAGCCGTGCAGTGCCATTGTTATTGACTCGGTCTATATTGTAAGGACCTTGTACTTGGGCGGACCGTACTTGCGGTGCTGATACTGTTGAAACCTCACAATATCGTTGACATTGTATTGATGAGGGACACGCGTCGCGTTTTCCTTATCATTGTTTTTCTAGATGAGTCGTTGGCGACGTTCTTTATTGATGTGTTTCCAGTTTACTTCGAAACGGACGTTGTGAACACGTGTGGTAATGAACTTGCGACGAAGTCCATATTCATCCCGGAGAGTCTTCTCGACTTCTGCGCGGAACTCACGTTCTCTATCCATGATAACCTCAGCAGGCCATGGATACTGGGTGAGCCACGTCTGTTCTAGAACGATGGCTACTTCGTCTGCTGCATTGGAGCAGATCTCGGTAATCTCGAACCATTCGGTTACGGGATCAATCATTGTCAAGCAATGAAATGGACAGGGATTCCTTTTCTTGGGATCCTCGACGTTGTATGTATATGTGATCGTCTGATCCATATGTCTCAATAGTAGTTCACTAGTCCAATGAATCTACCAAGTTTCTTCCTGTTCGTAGGAGGAGCGATATTCTGGATCGCATCTATTTTCTTGGTTACGGGTTGGATTCCTTCTCAAGTAATCCAGTAGCCTAGATACTCAAGAATATTCATCATATCATAATTAACGAAGAAAACAGAACTTAAAAAAAGAAAAGAGTATTGAATCATATTATAAAAGTCCGAGCTTTCTACGAAAGAACCTATTAGGAAGTATAAAGCTATAATTAGATAACAAACTAATCTAGTAGATAGTAATTACCATCAAAATAGTATGACGAATCAAGACAATTCAAGTCGTGCATAAGAAAATAGTTCACCTTGAAAAAGATGTCAAGGATCATAGATACCCATTATATCGCTGTACAATCGATCATTAATCTCAAACAACAAATCACAGAAAGAAAATAAGAAAAAAAATAAAACAAAATATAAATAAAAGAGGAGAAAAAATTAGAAAACATAATAATAAAAAATAGACACAAAAAAGAAAACAAAAAAGGAAAAGAAAAGAAACTAAGATAAAAAAAAAAAAAAAAAAAAAAAAAAAAAATAAACAATAAATACATATGATCAGAATATAGACATGTCTAGAGATATCCTATGAAATGGACAAGAATTATATATAATGAACTACATTCCTTTTGTTCAGTTCCCGGACGTCAGAGAGACCGTATAGATCCTTCTTTTTGGGAATGATAATGTTGGTGCCGTCCACTCGGAACGGTTTACCTTCTTAAGTGCTCCTGCGTCGCAGAGACGTTGACCTCTGTCTAAGAGTGTTGGTATGGACACGTGGAGTAGGTAAGTCCTTGTGTGATAGGGTTTAGCTCAGGAGAAGTTCTACTTCGTAGTTGTCCATTGTCGCTTTCCTAAAGTACCTTCGAATTGGTCGGAGCATTTGGTAATAAGGCAGAAGCGGTTCCTGCTCTTTCTTATTTACCTGGTTTGACTCTGGCATATCTGCCTTAAGTCAGTCGTTCGTATTTCGTGTCAAGAGTCCTCTTGAGAAGATCTGCACTGTCGCATGGCTGTAAGATCAGGGATGAAGAAGTTCCTTTCTCGTTGGTATGCTATCTTTCATAGGTAAAGATGTGCTATTCCACTTCGCTGACGGGGTAGTGAAATCGAACTTGATTCTTAGATCGGAGAGAAAGTCTCGACCTATGATCATGTCATACGCCCCAAGTTGGTGCGTGAATCCATCGATAATTCTATCATCGTGGAACTCAGGATCATAAGTGCACCCTTACACTTCGTGCTGGGGTTTAATTCCTTTACAGGGTAGTCCATAGTGTTTGGACGCCCCCATGATCCTTCATGCTTAATCTCTTAGCATGAATTTGGGTACATCTAAGAAGCGCATAATGGGGTAGCGCGAAAACAGCGAGGTCGGTTACAAAATTGCCAGGTCAGTCGATGGTAAGGTTACCAATCGTAACTGACCTCGCGCTTAGTATGGTGGGTACAAGAAAAACCGAGGAATGATCCTTCCCATTTTGTGAGGTCAGCTGTGCAATATTCAAGAACCTCTTATCCTACTAATTGAAGACGATCGACTCAGGCATATACAGATGCAATTGCAGCACAAGTCATTGGCGTAACGGTTACAGAATGTTGAACTAAGCATTCACTATTCCTCTACCGAATTCCGTTCCCCTTTCTATACATGGCTTACAAGTTTATGCACTTTGTGATGCTAATTACAGAAGGGCAGTGTAGGCTATTCCCAAGCCCCGGAATCCAAAACAGCTCAGCCATTCCTTCCCAAATGAAAGAGTCCTAAGTTACTAAATCTATAAGTAGGGGTTTCCAAAATGGAGAAAAGCAGTACACAATGTTGATATGATTGGGGCTAAATTCGTTATGGTACTACTAATAACAGAGTAGTGGAGGTAAGCGAACAATGACATAATGTTCGTAGTAAAAGGGGAGAAACAGGTCACTCATATGTAACCAACTGTAACGGTACGGGCATCCAGGTCCGAGAAAAGGGTCAAAGATTCCAAAAAAGGACGGAATCTCTTCTTTT